TTAATAACAATTTTCTCTCCCAAAAAGCAGAATAAAAGAGGGCTGGACATCAGCTTTAAAAGAAAAATAACTTTTTTGTATTGTGTTCAGACCTGCTGTGTGCAGTTTTGTGTGTTTGTGCACTATACAGGTGTTTTGGTTGGAGCCACTGAACATTTTAAGTATATGAATATTAAAAAATTAAAACCCAACTCAATACGTTTTTTTTTTTTGTAAACTGATTAATTAGGCTTTTTTCCTACTATAATTTGTTGCATTTTTTTTTCCATTTTGTGATTTAGTTCATTCACTTACCTAACAACTTTGGCATCTATTATATTCTGGGGCTGATTCTTGGTGTGAAAGCAGGAACAAGACAGATGAAGTTGCTCCTCATAGAGCTTAGATGGTAATGGGAACAGACAAGAAAAAAATCACAAAAGAGTGAAAATTCATATAATCATTATTTAAATGAAGAGATGAAAAGGAATAATATAATAAAGTCTGGCTATTTTAGAGTTAATAATCAGAAATGTCTTTTCTGAAGGAGACTGTTAAATAGAGATAAAACGACTAACATCTAGTTTATACAAGACTGCAGAGAAGAACATTTCAGATAGGAAAAAAACGACAATCGCAAATGTCCGGAGGCAAGAAGAGTTTGATCAGACTCTAAAAACACATGCAAGGGCAGAGTGGCACAGGCCCAAGATTTGCTTTGAGCAGAAAAGAATATGAGTTAAGGTCATAAGGAAGACAGAGACTAGATCATATACGATCACGTGGTTAGGAATTTGGGATTTTTGCTAAGTTTATTGAAAAACCACGAATACAATCTTACTTACATTTATAAAGTTCCCCAGGATTGTTTTATAGATTGGAGAGGAGAGCACAAAGAAAGAAACAAGAAGACTAGTGACAGGAAAAGGAAAACTTTGTTTTGGCTTAGCATGAGAGCAATGGCTATGGAGAACCAACTGTGCTGCACATCAAAACTGGACTGGATAAAAAAAAAATGCGGTACATACACACAATGGAATATTATGCAGCCATAAAGAAGGACAAACATATGGACTTTGCAGCAACTTGGATGGATTTAGAGTCTATCATCATACTCTGGCATCTATCACAGAAACAATGAATAAAGTACCACATGTTCTCACTCATAAGTATACCCTGAACATCTACCATAATAATATGTGAAAGGGATTGGCAGTAACAGGATACTTCCTGTGTTGGGGAGTGGGAAGAACACAACTTAAATAAGGGTAGCTGATCTCAAACCAGGCAAAGTGGGGACAAAAGGGAGGCCTAAACTTTATCTGTGCGAAGACCATTTGAATGCCTAATCCTGAATTGTACCCCACATTTTAAAAAGAAAATATAAAAACATATTAAGTACTACTTTAAATTTAATACTTTAAATTTTATTTTTAATTTCTATTATTTTAAATTTTAATTGATTTTTTGTAGGCAAGATGAATGAAAATTAATGCTACCTTGTTTCTCAATAATAAAAAAGTGACATTAAAAAAATGAGTGGATTTAAAATATGTTTGGGAATTAGTACTGTAGGAGGTGATGGGTTGACTGTAAGACAGTGTGGGAAAGGATAGACTGAAAAATGATTTTAAGACTTTTGACTTGAGTTACTGGATGGATAGTGAGATCATTTTTTAAGATGGAGAACATTAAGGTAAAAACAGTTGGAAACTTGTAAGTAGAGGTATCTTTCGTGCATCTGGGCTAACAGTTTCTCAAAGGCAATTATGAATATAATTTTGAATATAATTTTGAATATATTCAAAATTATAAATATAATTATGAATATAATTTTGAATACCTCTTCTTTTTAACTCTCATTCAGTTACTTAGTAAATATTTCATAAATGCCCATCAGATATCAGACATTGTGCAAAATGGTTGTTATTTCCAATAAAAATGAAGATGCATCTCTCACACTTATAAAACTTCTAGGCTAATAAGAGAAATAGAGACAATAATCAAATCACCATACAATGAAAGTAAAACTGCAACAGTGATTTATGCTAAAATCAGAGGTACATGATATTATGATACACTAAAATGTAGTAACTTTACCTAGTTATGGAAGTCTCAGAAGGTTTTCCTGAAGAAATTATATTACATCTGAAAGTAAATCAGTCAAAGGGAAATAAGACCTTTCACTGAAGGTCTCAGGACAGGAAGGAATTAGGTGAATACTTGGAGCTGATACATAACAGACAAGTCTTAGCCTTGCCTCCTCTTTAACAGCACAGTCTACTGGAGTCAGTTTGTGATATACCAATTCATTAGGAAGTACAATCCCATGTATGTAGCAGGCATGAAGCAAAAGTGAGAGTGAGTCAGGGAAAGAGAGAGAACCAATGGAAGTGCATTACTGAGTTGACCACAGTTGAATTCAAATCATTGCTCTATCCCATGGGACTATCCTGTATATGAGAGAAGGAAGGAAGGACAGGAGAGAAGTTTGGAACTTTATTCACCAGTTCCCTTCTCTCGCTGAATAAACTTTGGTCCCACAGTATTATCCTGTCCATGCTTCAAAGATGAGCTCGAAGGGGTGTCAGGCAGAGTCTCACAGCATCTCATGCCATAACATACGGTATACCACGAGTACTGTGGTTAATTTTCACCTGCTGTTAGTTGTGGTCCACGCAGAGATGCTCACTCCATCAGTGGCTGATACCAGAGAGATGAGCCCTAAAAACTTGAAGCAGTTCGGAAGATGAATTGATGCAATCATCAGGACTAGAATGGAGAGAAGAAAAGCTGGAAACAAAGGAACTTGTGAGCTAAGAAAGGGTCTGATCATGCAGGACCTTGGAGGCCAATTGAAGATTTTTGTTTTTGTCCTAGAAGAAATGCAGTCATTTTTGTTGTTGCTGTTTGTTAAAGTAGGAAAACACAATGAACAGAATTACACTTCAAAAATCACCCTGCCCACATAGAGGAGAACAGATTGGAGGGGGATCCAGTACACACAGACCATTCAGGATAAAAGTGGTCCAGTCAATGTGGTCACAGTTTAGACAAATGGGGTAGATCCAGGAGATACATAGGAGAAAAGAACAACAGAATTCATTGATGGTTTGAGATGGGGGTTGAAGGAGAAAGCTTGGTATAAAGGACAATGCCTAGGTTTTTGTCTTGATTAATTGGATTGATACTGTTCCAGTGCAGTAGGGGGAAACAGGTTTGAAAGGGGAAAGTTATGCATTCACTTTTGAAATATTGAGTTTGAAATAGCCTTTATACATCAGAAAGATGTCAAGTCAAATATATACAAAAGCCTCAGATCTGAGGAGAGTAGTGGGCTAAAAATAACTTGAAGTCATCTGTCTGCATATGGCAATTAAAAGTTTGGTTGTACCAGATACCGAAGGAAAACAATAGAGTGGGAAAGAGACCTAAGGTTGAGACTGCAGAGAACTCTAGGGTGCACCAAGTTTGGATGTCATATTCTCCCAGAGATCTGCAATGTGGCAAATATATCCATTTAATCTTGTTTGCCAACATTCCTAACATATTTTGGTCAAAAATACTATTTACACAAAATCAGTGAGTCAAAAAACCTCAAAATTTATATAGATGGTTACTGTGGCAAATTTAAAATTTTTCATTCTGTTATAAATAAACCAATCAATGAAACATTTTCCCCACTGTTAATAGAATGTATGCATTTCAGCTGCAGTGCAATATATTACTTCTTTCAGGTAACAAATGGAATTTCCATATTTTATTCTGTCTTTATTCATCTATATATAAGATATTGTTTCACTCTGAATGTGTTGCAAGAATGATAAAAACCTCACTGTGTATTTACGTATGCCTAGCAAGATACTAAAGGTCCTTGAAAAATGGTTGTACTTATGTTTATTTGCCTTATGCCTGATTTTTCTTGGCAATAAAAGCTCTCCATAACTGAGATGTCATGAATCTAAGGATATATGGCTTGAAAATTATCTGTGTTGTATTTTGTGGGGAAACAAATGAGAATAGTAAAAGAAGAGCTATGTCCCACAATAGATTTTGATAAGGAAACACAAATATCAACTAAAAACACTTAGGACAGTTATTTTTTTAAGCCACCTCTGGTAAAAATCTTGTTTTCAATTTATCAAAGGAGTGAGTGGGATATGATGAGATGCATGAGATTCATTTAAAAACAATTGACTTAGTTGAATTACTACTTTTTAGGTTGCACACATTCAGCCGTTCTATACAATAAATTTTAATTGATTTTCATCTATTGCGTGGCTCATCACATATCTCAAAACTAAGACATTTGTAAACATGATCAATAAGTCAGTCTTAAGTTCAAACACACCTCTCTTTAGCATTTGTAAGAAAATGTGGAGAAGTGAGGACATGAAAAAATATACTGGTATAATAATTATTTATCCATTATAAGCCTGGTTGTTGGAATCACATCACCCTGGATTTGATTTCTAGTTTTGGCCTATGCTGGCGATGCTCACTGGGCTATTCAGTCTCATTGTGCCCTAATTCTACAAACCAAAGATGGTTGCTTGAGGGTTAAATGTAATAATGTGTGTAAAGTGCTTAGTATAGAAAAGACAGTATTTAGAGATCACAATTTTCAATAGATTGTCTGCTGAGCCAGAGTGGATATACCAATTCTAAAAGATTATTTCAAAATTATGTACTAAGTTTATTAAAAGTAGAAAATATTGGACATTTTCTTAAAAAGTGACCTTTCCATATTAAAAAAAAACAGATAGATATATATTCATTTTAAGTTCATATTTATCATAACTATATGCTTTACTGGTATACACTGTTTTATAGATGATATTAAATGGTATATTTGTAAATACAGTAATTGAAACCAAAATATTTTATCTGTCCCTTATTTGTACTTTATTAATTTATATTTCACTAATAGATATTCCAAAATTAGAGGCAAATGAACTAAAGTAGCTAAGGTCTATATGTAAATTCTGATTCTTCTCAGCTGTATAGAATAAATGCAAACATTTTTAGAGTACATGAAGTTGAACTTTTATTTGGAAAGTTGAATTTCATGTATAATGAAAATATTTTTAAACCATACATATTCATAAGCATAATACAAACACCACCTACAATACAAACACTTTTTTTAATAAAGGCCTACTATGAATATTAATCTAAGCCAAAAGAAAAAGATAATCAGGTGAACCTGTTCTACATACCTTTTATTTCTTTTGATGATGTAATCAAACAATTTCAGGTACAAAACAAAGTACGCTTTGGCTCAACCTTACTTATTTCACTATAGGAACACGAGAATATATACTACGACAGAATACAAACCCAATGCCATTATAACCAATTTAAAACTGTCACAAGAATCATATCTTAATGGCAGGTAAACATATTTAGGGCTTCAATTGGCAATTATGTTTTAAATGCTTAGAAAAACACACCAACATTTCTCATTGTCCTCTCTTTAACTTATCTCTTCCATGAATATAAAATAGGAAAAAATATTATTTGAGATTTCCAGCAAATAATTTCATTGTGCTCTACATTTTTATAAACATGGGTACATCTAAAATATTGATGCCTTTATACCAATAGAATAAAATTCACCAAATTCACATTTTTTCTTATAAATACGCATGCAAAATCAGTGGAAAACACTTTTGTATAGCAAAGACCCTGCTTAATTTTATTCTGATTAATAATTTTAAATGGCATGTGCAAATCATACTGTTCATTGAACAGTAGATTTATTTTATTGTCTGTAGATTTGTTTATCTATAAAAATATATTTATGTGTTCACAGGAGAAAAGTTGAGTTGGTGCGTGGGGGTGACTTTTAGATACATAATTAGATTACAGGTCTGTTTATGAAGTTAAAAGGCATCTTAGCTTTTATCATTTTCAATTTTTTCTTCATAAAAAAGAACACCCTGTGACAAAGATAAGGTAACTGAGTTAATCATTAGCACTTTATAGTTAGAGCTTGAAGCAAAAAGGTTAAGCAACTTGCCTAAAGTTTAGGTACAAAATCAGTGCTGGAACCAGGAAGAGAACTTGGATTTTCCCAACCCTCGGACAGCTCTCTAGGAACTCATCCCTACCAACCATCCTTGAGATTATATACAATCAATTACATTAAAACAATATTGACAGTAGACTAGAGAAAGTTAATGTAAATCCAATCAAAAACAAAGTTCTAAATATTAGCTATTGCCTTATCACTCAGTGAGCATTTTGCAAACAATCACTGCCCATTTATAAACACCATTGCACATCATGGACTCTGTTACTAATTGTCTGAGGGAAAACAATGAAATCCATTCTAATCTATTTGGATTTTTTTGTATTTGAAGCTTATTCTGATTCATAAAATATATGAATAATATAATTTCACAATTTAAATTGGGGCAGTCATGAACTTATTCCTTCTGTGTAAAGCTTTACAGTAAAAGCCAAATAGTAGTTAGAAAAGATAATAATGGTAGCAAAAGGTAGTCATAATCTCTGTATTCATATCTGTAAGTTTTGATCATTCAGAAAATATGAACACCCTTGAGTCTCAGACAGCTAGAGAATATTTAGAAACCGCAAGTATTTCAGTTATTTCAGTATTTTTATTAACTTATGACTTAAAGAGTATTACATTCCAAAGGTTGTTTTGACATTATTTCTAACCTGCATGACTCTCTTAAAACCACTTTTGGCTGATGACAAAGAAGGAGACATAGAATACTAGCAAAACTAAACTTGAAAGTCCCAATCTTTACCTTATCGGTAGCTGAGCACCACAAATTCCTCCCAGATAAATTAAAACTAGATAACTGTTCCTCCAGAAAAAAATGTAACTTAGATATTAGGTGGGGATGGAGCTCTGGTTGCACTGATGGTTGTGTGCATCCTCACACTCACATAGGGTGGGGAACCAAGATGCCTTCCCCCTTTGAAATGCTTACTTTCAGGAGTATAGTCAAATCCTGAGCCCATGAAGTATGGTTTTAAATAGATATTCTTTTCCTGCCTATGCATTTTTGGAGGACATGTGGGGGTTAAAAAAGACAAGTAGATATTCCATGGGCATTACTACACTGACCGTTATAAATGTCCCTAATTTTTGTTTCTAAGAAATATAAAGGGTCACATAGATCAAATTTGAAGAGTTAACAGCATATACCCATAATTGAAGTTCAAAAACTAAAGTAAAATCTGTGAGTCAATTTCACTTAAACATAGATAAGAATTTCAGGGTAAGTTTAAAAATCGTTTCCTAAAATGCAAAGTTGAATACTGAATTTTACTTATTGTATGCATAATCACTCATACTATTTTAAAAACATCTCTGTGTACAATTTTAAAAGGTCTATTAACATACATGCCAGGAAATAGAGTCCCTGAATTTGTACTGACTTTGACAGAAGAAGGATATGGGGGGGGGGGAAAGAGCTCACCATAAAGATGTTTAAGATGTGATATAGGCAAACATATGTACAGGAATTTCTACTGTAAACAGTTTTTCTTTCAGGAGGCTAGGGTAGGATTACACTCAATAAGAACAAAAAACTTATTTTTAAAAATAGGAAAAGATTTCCCTCAATATTTATATGATATTTTATTTTGAAACTGTTGAAAAAAGCAATATAAGAACAAAATCCAAATGATTTATACAAAGTTTTCAGTTTTGAAACCTCAGGTTATTGGTTGTAGCTCTGAAATGATGAAAAATGAAAACTTACTATATACTCTAGTTGTACAGACATGCCTGTTAATGTTCTTTTTCTCACTTCAAAATAAAACACATCTATATTTTAAATTGTGTCAATATCAACATAATAGGTACAGTGCATTCATGAAATATATGCAAGCATACCATTATATAAACATAGAAAAAAGGTAAAAGCAGTCAATTTAGGAATTAAGATATTAAGTAAATACAGTTATTAGAATCCAGAACCATAGTGGACACCTTATTCCTGTTCTTTTATAAAATAACCTCTGACCACCACTTTCTATGCAGCTGAATTTAGTCCAAGAAAAAAAAAAACAAACACATACACAAAAAAATCTCCCACAAAAAAACAAAGATGCTGATGAATGCCACAACAGATAGAAATTAAAAAAATTCATGTTGAAAGTTGTAATTCTGTTTAAGCATCACCATCTCTTGGCAAGTAGTTAGGCGCTCAATAAATACTAGTTGATTGTTCACCTAAGAGTTTTGCTATTAAAATTTAAATAATAAATTTAGACTGTATATATTTAATGAACTTTTTTAATAAGACATTCATATTCCTTTTTATATTTTAAATAACCAGTTTGGTTATGATCTTTTAAGCTGTAGTGAAGCAAAGTTACTAAGACAGTTCTCAGAGACTGAATACAAATGTGCATATGGAGATAAACTCACAAGGTAGCAACATCTATGCAAACACAGTAATTTCAGGCAAATAGAGAGTACAATGAATGTGTACTTTGGATTCAGTTGAGGTGAATCTAAATACAGGTTTTGTTTTGTGTTCTGCATTTGAGCACCTGAAAATAAAAACAAAACATGGGCCTGAAATGCTTGGCATTTTATTTTTTGAAGGCAGTACTATTTTTCTCAACATAATTTCAGGATGTTGAATTCTGGATGAAATCTTCAACCAATATGTTTCTATTCCTATATGAAAGTTCTTGCTCCCTTGAATGGATAAATATGGACGGTTGGGGTGAATCAGTAATGTTGCTTATATGTGTTATGCTTATGCCCGGAGTGGAAATGTTGCTGTAGAACTTCCATTGCTTTCCACAGACCCTTTCTCCTTAGATCCAACATAAGCACCAATAAATGATCCATCTTCATTGAATAGACCATGGTCTCCTTCTCCATACTCGACTAAGCTGTCAGCACTTTCGGTGGGCTGCATATTCCTATTAAGGGACCGAAGACTTCCTTTTAGAGGTTTTTCATCACTGTCACTAGAAAACAAAAAAGAGTAGTTCAATAACATCTAATATTCATATTCCTGTAAAGCAAGACCAATTCATAAGTGCTAGCAGGCGTAATAATTGTCAGGACATTCATTTAAGCATTGAAGACAGATACATAAAGCCCAAATGACACTACCACAAATAAATGTTTAAAAAGTCATAATCAATTTGCATCAATCTGAATAACTGAGAAACAATTTTCTTTTATCCATAATTCTGCTTCCTTTTTAAATTGGGAGCTTAGCCTTGATGAGATGTGGAAATTCAAAGTGTTGACATACATACATGCTGCTATGGTAAAAAAGTCTGTGTTTTCCCAAGTTCATATGTTAAAACTTGATGACCAGTGGTATTAGGAAGTGTGCCCTTTAGTAAGTGATTAGGCTATGAGGGTGGAACTCTCACGAATCGGATTTGTGCCTTTATAGAGAGACCTCAGGGAGCTCCTTTTCCTTTTCATCATGTGAGGACACAAAGAAGTGTTGTCTATTAACCAGGTGGGCCCACACCAGATATTGAAAATACTGGCGCTTTGATCTTAGACTTCCCAGATTCCATAACTGTGAGAAAAAATTCCATTGTTTATAAACCACCCGGTTTATGGTATTTTGTTAGAGAAACTCTAATGGACTAAGACAAAGAACAAATGTTATTTCTCTTGCTTTCATAAACTTTTGGAGTTCTCAACCCCAAGTTTTAATGTTCTATCTTTACTTCTGATCCTGTAGATCCTCTCATATTCTTTCAAAAATTCTCTTTTGTTTAGGTTAATCAATCATATTCTGTTTTCTGAAAACAAAGAACTTTCTTTAATATAGTAGTTAAAAAACCTCAAGCTTGCTAAGGAAAGAACAAAAATAAAAGAAATGGTATTTTAAGAACATAAATAAGTATACTATATTTATGGTTTTGATTTTATTCTACAACAAAAGCAACTCTGAATTAGTAAAATGCCAATCAAATGACATAATCATCTAAATTTCAGATCAATATATTTAAAGTACCAACTAGTATTATATTATGAAGCTGAACATTAAATCAAATGATTTTTAAAATTTTGAAAAAAGAATTTGGAAAAAATGTAATTAAAATATATAGAGCATTTTATAATTTGTGGTATTCTCCAATGTTGTTCATCAAATACGTACTTTCCTGCCCATTCTGAGTTATATATCATCATGTAACTTACTTTAGCCAAAAAAAAAAAAAAAAAAAAAATGTGAGCAAAGGTGACATGTGACTCTTCCAAGTGGAACATTTAAAGTCAGGCCTCTAGTTGCTATTTCTGTTTCTACTTCTATGGTGACACTGGATCCTCAGCCAGTGGCCAGTGCTCCTAAGTGACTAAGATGATCAGAGCAATCTGGGTGAAACACATCACTTGAGAAGAAAAAGCATTTGGAGTTGTTTTAACAGCAGCATAACACATGTTACCCTCACTGGCTCCAGAAGTAGGATATTGCAGTCACCAAAACAAATCAAGGGGAAAAAAAATGTGGCATTGGCATAGGAGCCAGGAATCAGGAAACAAGTATTGGCTCCAGAATTTATTGGCTCCAGAAGTAGGATATTGCAGTCACCAAAACAAATCAAGGGAAAAAAAAAATGTGGCGTTGGCATAGGAGCCAGGAGCTAGGAAACAAGTATTAAAGCAAAATAATGAAGGAACTATCATCAGAAGCTTGAAGGATGAGAAATTCTGTTATTCAAGGTCACACAGCATCTGGCAAAACTGTCTCCAGGGATAACATGGAAAACAGACAATTTTCTTGATAAATGTGTAATTTGGGGGAAGGATATGGAAAACATACTAACTACTATAAAGGAGTGTCATAGGAAATAATGCATGGGATGATGTTACCTATCGTTATGAAGATGCAGCAGAGTATGAGAAAATGAGATTTTAGACAAAGGATGACCTCTAGCCTGTGAAGGACTAAAACCCTCAGTTTATATGGAAATTCTGTCAACAGCCACATGAGTGACATAGAAAGTGGACTGTGCTACAGATAAGCCTTTAGATAAGACCACAACCCTAGTCAAAACCATGCTGCTACCTTATGAGAGACCCTGAGCCACAGGCACCCACATAAGTCATGATTAGATTCCTAAATCAAGGATTTTTAAATAATAAACATGTATTTTAAGTTGTTAGGTATTGTAGCTAATTGTTATGAAGAAACTGATAACTAACACTACAGCAATGAGCACAATTTGTAAACTTCCAAAATTAGTTTTCTTTTTTAGTGTTTAATTATATTAGAATTTTTATATATTCGAGGGTACAAGTGCAGGTTTCTCACATGCATATATTGTGTAGTGGTGACATCTGGGCTTTCAGTGCACACATCACCCGAATAGTGAACATTGTTCCTAAGAGATAATATTTTAACCCTCACTCTCCTCCCATCCTCCCACCTTTTGTAGTATCCTATGTCCATTTTTTCAGTCATTATGTCCATGTGTACCCATTGTTTAGACCCTCTTACAAGTGAGAACATGCAGTATTTGAGTTTCTGTTTCTGAGTTATTTTACTTAGGATAATGACCTCTAGTCTCTCTCTCTCTCTCTCTCTCTCCTCCCTATTCTGGAAAGAATTATAATTAGATCAAGAAATATGAAAATGTAAAGTTGAGGTACCTGAGACTCAAATACAGATCAATTAGCCCAGGACAGCTAACCAAAATACTCTATATCTCTATATCTCTAGCTACAGTGATGAATTCAGGGATGAGCCAATCAGGGCCAATCAGATTTCTTATTTTATATGAATCCTGGTAACATGTGTGATAAACTCAAGATAAGCCTGGAATTTGCAGTAGCTCTCTTGGTTGCAATATACAGAGGATTGATAAATATGACATCGGAAGCAAGAAGTGCTAAGAAATGGAGAAAGTGGTAGAAAAGGGAAGATAAAAAGAGATGACAGGACAGTGAGAAAACTGGACACCTCCTCAAAAACTCCCTACCACAGACTAGACTTCTTACTATTTCTCCTATGCTGAAAACCCTTCACAGCCTCATACCTTTGGTCATGTTCTGCCCAGTAATTAATAGTAACACAATCATTTTTATCCTTTAATGCCTGGCTTATCTCTGCTGGCAGATCCTTTTTCCAGAACCCTCTAGGCAGAAACATTTGCTCCTTTTTGTGCTCCCTAATTCTATTTAATTAATTACAGTTATTTATACATAAAAGTTTTTTTCTTGGCAGACTAGGTTTATCTAGAAGACAGCCTATGACTTATTTACCTTTTTGCAAATGCACATATTAAGTACACAGATATGTGTCTATGAATGCAAACTGAATACAACCTGAGTTCATAGTGGCCATGATAAAGAGTAGCTTCAAGATGTTTTATGTACCCCACATAGATATTCATTCTAAATAAAAAGTATCTTTGTGTTACACACAAAGCTTCAAGAAAGTGTCCTAATTCATACTTCTACCTAGACTGTAGTTATTTATACACCATCATCTCTGCACATAGAAATTTAGTTGCAATCACTTAATCAATCCCTACTTGTACAAAATATTCTTTATAGGGGGGTTATAATATAGTTCTGTATCATTTATTTTAAGAATAAATGCATTCATGTAAGCTTATAACCTGATGAATATGTTTAGATACATTTTTAAATGAAATATTATGATTACCTATATTCACCAAAGGTTTCGTCTTTTACTGACTGGACTTCTGGATCTGGATGCAAATCTTCTTTCTCTTTCACTTAAAAAAAATAGAGGGGTAAGTAATACAATGAATTTTAAAGACATTTTAGCAGTGCTCTGGAAAGGTGAATGATCAATAAGAACAACATTGTTCACATTTTTTGATAAAAGTGAGGCAATATTTTGTGGCTGTATCTACAACACATCAGTTACCTCTTTGTTTAAACAACAATAACAAAAAATACTTTTTCTGGGTTTTACTTATCTTATCAGAACTGTAATAACATAGTGTACATTTTCATGCAACTACTCAATATAAAGCGGGCAACAAATCTTACTGGAACAGTCCAACTCAGTTTGGTCTCCCAGTGAAGACCGTACTTGTTGAAGATGTCACAGGCTTCTACCAAATCTATGTTATTAAACTAAAGTGAAATTTAAAAGTGAATCATTTGGTTGTTTTATATTACTGTCTTACTCAAAATTGTAGCAACAACCAGAATATTTAGTTCTATACTGACATTTTAAATTTAGATTTATTCTAAACAATGGAAAACAGAACAAAAAAGCCTTTGTTAATTTCCTACAAAAACTCAAATAAAAATTATTCTTCATGAAACTTTTTACTATATTCAGAGACCTAATAGAGTCCCTTAGCTGACCTACAATATGAAATGCTTATTTTTTTGATTTGAGAAAATTTAGAATTCTTTAGATTTTGGTTAAAGCCACACTTTACAAATGATTATTTGTTGGGTATAAAGAGAATGCGATATCTCTTTAAAATTCCAGTTAATTATTGAGAACACTCATTAATCACTATGAACCTAAATCATCATCTATCAGTCTTCAAAGAAAAATGTGATGTATAGTTGTATAAATAATTCATGTCATTTTACAAAAAGTTAGAAATTATGCTCTTGCTGGTTCTATGTACATGATGGGTTCCCAGAATATATTTGCTGGGTGAATCAAGCCAATAAGGAACTCCTCACTAATCTGGACATCATTAAATTAATAGTAGTGGACTCTAAATCATTTTCCCAATATAAAAGTATTATGAATACTAAGTCATAACACAAAGCAATGTGCATATCTGAAAAAGTCAAGACAAATTTGGAGTTGAATAAAATTAAAAGCAAACATTATATTAAAAACTAATTTTTACAATAATTTTTATTTATATTACATGTGCCGTTAATTGAAGAGGCAGTGTATCCAATACACTGACATTACTAATAGAAGTCATGGCAATAAGGAATGCATTCCTAGAAATGATCAACTCTAACAAAGTTTACCAGTGGAGCCAGTAGTATTAAAAAACCCTAGTGCAAAAAATCTGCGTCATGTGTGCATATAGAGAGAGGCATACTATAGACAGGTTCTTGCTTCTTAAACATTAGAACATGTGTGACTTAGTAATAAGTCTTCTCAATATCTCCAATATCTTGCAGATAGACAATAGAAACTTGGAAGTATTATAAACCTCATTGGAGCCCAGTTTAAGCACTAGAAACTATTAAACAAGTAACCAACTGGAAATGGTATTTTAGACCATAAGTATTCCCCTTGGTTACTTAATTAATCCATATGTTTTCTCTCTCAGTGGGTTGTATATCTAATTTACTAACATAAATTTGACTTAAGTGTGTAATTTTTTAAAAATCACAAAATGTCTCTGAAGAATGCCTCCCAGAAAAATACTATTTAATAAGTGAAAATCACATTAAGAAACAGATTTACCCGAGTACTTTCCACCTCTGTTCCTCTTCACAAAGCAAACAGTTAACAATACTAGAGTGAGAAGAGCAATTGCACACATCAATCCAATAAACCATCCTTGAGTGGAGATGTCATCATATAAACCAGCATATTCTGTTGTATAAAGAGAAGTTACAACACTGAACACTAGAAACAATGTTTGGTTTTACACAACAATAATCAGACATTAAACATACAACATAGCATCAATTTAATATTTCTTTTGAATGACCCCAGAGGGAATGTGATTTGAAGGACATGTCAACAGGGAAATACTAATAAATATTCCCTTCTTTATTTAGAAAGGGCCTTTTTCAAGTTGTGTTTGATTCTGAGGATGAAAACCAAAGAAGAACAGTGAAGGAAGGTGAAGTCAAATATAGAAGCAGCAGGGAACAAGCAAAAGCACAAGCTGCCTTAATTATAAGCAGATTACCATGGAGCCTTGGTGTTATTGTTGTTGGTGGTGTTTTCTTTTAGTCTGTGTTATTAACATGTGTTAATTAGCAGGAGATATTTTTAGGCAACAGCTCTAGTAAAAACAATAAGGAATAATTGGATGATCATGGAACATTTTTCCCATTGATAATTTTTAAATGTTTTGTCAAAACAAATTGAAATTATGATTTTTATAGCTAATGTACTTCATATTTTTATGCTTAATATAGGGCATATGTAATACTAATTGATCTACAGGACACAGATTTATTGTCTAAGACTGCCCCAAACAATCTCATTTCTCACCTCTCCCTCTTGTCTCAATTACATCTTGAAAAATGCTATCGTTATCACCCCAATTCTTAGTCATTAGGCGAACTATATGCTCTGCTCCCGGCTCAAATACCTCTATTGGGTGAGTCTTTTGAGTAAGATTTACTCCTTCTGATATCTTCCTGATACCTTTACCTAAGAAACGCACACAGTTAAAGCATATGAATTGTAATCATTGAAAAGCAGGATATAAAAGGTAAAGAGTGTTATTTGAGACAAATAAGAAAGTTCCTTATACCATCTAGTTTTCTCAGAAACTTTTAAAATTTTTAGGAGATCAAGAAAAATCAACATTTCAAGATTTTGTTTTCGAATATATTGAACCTGAATAAAAGAAACGAACTCAATTTATGGCCATTTAAGATGACGTACTTGTTGATGAAATGGTACTATCAATCTGCCGGGTCACGTGAAAGGTTCAAAACCACAGACTTTAAAAATTATACAATATAATTTTGTGTAATTTGAATTTTCACAAACCTAGTGGGAAATCAAGTATGGTCTTTTGACTGATAATTGACAGCATGTCATTATGATGTTAACTAACTATATATTACTTTTTTTGTTCCTTGGTCTTCTCCATAAACACTGATGAAATAGCATCATAATAAGGTCATATATTAAACATTTGAAGTTTATAGAAACATAAACTTCATAACGTCCAGGTTTATACAGAAAAATGAAATGGTTTTACTGACATTTCGAAAAAGGTGTGAGAAATTAATAGTCTTCAAAAATATCAATGTCTTATGTTAATAGAATCTCACAGTAGCAGATAAAAATGAATCAAGTTTAATTAGTATATATATTAATTTCTGATCTTGCAACAAAATATCTAAACTATTTTTGGATTTTATCCATAGTTTTTCTAGAAATAAATTCAATATAGTAAATATAAACCAGAAAATGTTAGCAATGGATACATGAAATAAAATATGTTCCATACTGGGAATATAAAGGGTTATGAAACTCTGTTTTAAGTGGGTTTATGTTATTCATCAATATTAGGTTATACCTTTTCACCCATAGAGCAAAAATTAATGATATAGTTACTAAATAACAAAAGGACTTTTAAAACAATGGCACCATGTGAAAAATAATGCCAGTTACGTGAGCAAAGCCTTTAAGATCAAGCACCACTGAAACAGAATGCAATTAATTTTGACCTTGAAAACAGAAATATTAGTATATTGTTAGGTAGTGCAAGATTTGGAAAAATAGAGCAAAGTAAGTGATTTATTCATACCACTAGTGAAACAAAAAGAATATTTCTAATTAACACTGTTTTTCCCTCTTAAACTGTGGAATATAATCCACTTGAAAACTGGAGTTACAATCAGAAACAATGCATGTTTATCAAATCCCATTTTTTGAATAAATATCAAATAATCTTTAAAAGGGCTATCTAGATAGAGCATGAAGAAGAAAGATACACAGTAGTAGATGTAATTCACACAAAGTCATCATTTTTAGATTGTGTAGTGTTATCAAGATGCATCTCCTCAATGGAAATGTATGTATTTTTTCCAAAGAATATGTTGAAATCCATTGGGAAAAGAGAGAACATTTTTTTCCCTGTAAATATGGCAAAACATGCCTATAGAAGAGAAATCAGTGTCAACTGGGGAAAGGGGTAGTAGCTGGAATACTGAAAATGCAGATTCCTGAAAAAGAGCACAAACACACTAATAAGGAACATTTAAAAATTACTGACACATAAGACAGTGAATAATCTGCTTTAAGGTATGCAGAACAGTAGGTATATTTTTAGTTTAAAGAAAAGATGTGACATCAGTTACAATATGACACAAACAGCATTTCCATCCTCCAAAAACAACTTCTCAGGCTTGAACGCAACCAAGCCCAAATTTTCCAACATATGTATTAAAATATGTAACATTTGTAAGGCGATTCTGTGAATTTTTTTATTACATGCTGTAAATTGGCAAGAATGGAATTAAAATTTCGTATACATATTATAGTCTTGGTTCTATCAAAATAGCAACTATATCCATGTCTTCAGTTCTGTTTTTAAAAATACGGAAGTTACATATTTAGACTACTACAATTATGACTTATCTTCCTTATATTCAACACTTGATGCCAGTTTGAATGCTTGAGAAATAAGAGCCTTTTAATTATTAAAAAATTTTCAATCACCAAGTTTAAATCTAAATTTTATGGGTAGATAAATGAGTTCTTTATTTCACCTAGTGTTCAATTCATCCTTGGGAATAATTTCTGGATTTCTGGGAAGAAATTACTTGAATAATATACTTTTCCCATATAAGAGAGTTTTGCATAATTAAGAAATCTGAGGAAAATATAAATCCTTTATTATTTACAGTAGGTACAACAAGAGGAAAAAACAAACTAATGATAATAAAGGTCAGATAATAACCATTCAAATATTGTAGTGACTCATAAGCTTGAAAATATTTTGATATATATCTTTAATAAATGGTAGACAATTTAACCTCTTCACTATTTTATCCTCTTGCTTATGTTTCTTCCATTTATCAGACAATTTTTCTAAACTACAATTTGGAAAACCACTCAGAACACACTTTAACACATAGTACATGGTAAACAAACAATTCTATTTCCCTTCCTGCCATCTCCCTTTTCCTTCTTTTCTTCCACAAATATCCCTCCATGCCTGCCCAGCCTAAACCCTACACAAATCTCTCTTTTTTACATTGATTCATGTCAATTTTATTTTACTGATGTGTATAAGAATCAAAGCATGGAAGTGACGTGTATTAGATCTGTGTATAAAAATGTCTACCCAGGCAAGAGCCAAACATTTTTTGTATGCAAACGTTTCTAAAAGAAAAATATTCCTTTATAAATCTTGTGAATAGCTTTACGATTTTATGTTCCTTATTTTAATTAAACAAAATTGTAGCTTCTGACCTTATATTCACTAAACTATGAATTGATTGGTATTGTACAGAAATCCATAAATAGAGTCAATGTGAACTTTACAAACAAGATTAATAAATTCTGTTATCTATGTCAGTGGAAAACAGAAGGTCAGATAGATTAGGGTCACAATCATTTCTAATTTACAATGACTAATATGGTGCTTTCCTTTCAGGGCAGTTGTTTAAAAAGATGCAGTATGCAGAAGTCTCGTGTACTTACTCCCTTCTCCTAATGTGGAGCTTTCCTCAGTGATTGGTTTTCCACAACCCTTTGAAGTACAAGCCCTCAAGTAGAATTTATACTTGGTAGTTGCATTGAGGTTTGAGAGACGCCAACTAGGTTCTGATGGAGTTGTAATGTTGATATCATTTAATTCTCCAATCTCATAGGTGTCATTTACTAAAGAAATAAACATGAACAACAACACGTCAAATGTAGTATTTAACAATTCTAGTTGCATGTGAGGATAACACATAAGGGATGCAAGCAAATTGACTTTTGTAAGCAGTGTAGACTGGGTCTCTGTATTTCTAATGTTTTAAGAATCCATGTTCTTAAAGTTTCAGGGTGGGGCTGTTACTAAAGTTTTCTATAAAGTAAATCCCCTAAAGTTTCATTTTGAGATGATACTTGGACGTGAAGACTGCTAGAGATAGAAGGTGCTATGATTAAAAATGACCCAATTTCGTATAACCACATTGATGTTTCTCTAGTCACAGCAGCAGGTGGGCAGAGCCTTTTCTGAGTAATGGTCCAAAGATAATATTACCTCCACAAACCATCAGGCTACCAAAAGAGAACTGGATGAACAGAAATATAATCAGGATTAAGTCTGAAAGCATGCATTTGAGGCAGAAGAGGCAGTATAGTATGGAAAGTACTTGTGCTTTGAATCTCCATTACATCACTTACCAACTCTGTTCTTTGGCATGTTTCTTAATTCTCAAAAGATCTTATATGCAAATATTAAGCACATGTTTTGTGGTACCCATTGGAACATTGCTTTTTTCTAAAATGGGTCAGCAAAAATTTCCATAAAGGGCTTGAATGTAAGTATTTTAGCCTTTGTAGGCCATGTAGTCTCTGTTCCAATGACTCATCTTTGCCCCTTGAATGAGAAAATAGCTATAGACAATACCTAAACAGGTGGACATGGATGAGCATGTTTCAATAAAACTTTATTTATAAAAATAGGTAACAGGTTGGATTTGGCCCTAAAGCCAGTTTATTGATCCCTGTGCTACAAGGAAGGATGCTAGCCTATAAACCACGGCCTTAAGAGGTCGTTAGACTCCCAACAAAGCAAACAGAATACTCAACCCAAAACATGAAATGTTAATAGGATAACTCCAATTCAAATTTCTACTTACTTATTTGGTATTGTAATAGATAGCCAGTTAAATTTCCATTTAATTTATTAGGTAGTCCCCAAGATAAAGTGGCAGTGTCTTTATCAACTTTGATGACCTTGAGGAAAGTTGGCTGTTCGGGTACTAGAAAATAATAAGACCAAGAATAAACTCTCATACATCAGTAAATTTATTTTTTTAAAAAGCCCTATTAGATCACCAATTTTTATAAATGTTGAAAAACTAACCAACATGAAATAAATAAATAAGCATGAAAATGTTTGATATTACCATTGAATAATTTCCATTGTTGACATTACATGCCACTGTTATTGTCTTACCTCCTTCTGGTGTTTGAAATATATAAGGCTCACTTTCTGGACCAGCTCCTTTAGAATTATAAGCTAAGACTGTTAAGTGAAATTCACTAAAGGCATCTAAGGAAGGAACCATTCCAGAGTTTCTTTGTCCTGAAAATCTTAGAATATTCACTTCTTTGGGATGTGTTCTTCCATCCAACAGACTTTTTGTTTTCCACCAATTTATCTGCAATGAAGATAAGAATCTTTTAACATAACAACCATGGTGGCAGATCTTCTTACTGCTTCATCTGAAATCAGTTCTTACTAATTCTTAGGAAAGACACAAATTCAACAACAAGAAGAAAAACTATGATAAAAACCTGATATCCTTTCAGACGTCCATGTACTCTGTCCTTTGGAATTGTTGACCAGGTAACTTTAACTAATGTACTGTTTATAACGTCCACCCCATGGATCACTGGAGCTGTATCAGGATCTGTTAAGCATGCAAGATTTATTAGCTTCCAATAACCTCCAAACATGATTATAAGGATCATGTTCAAAGATGATTTTCATAATTTTTAATCTTGGGAAAGCACTTTTGTAAAATCAACTGCAAATAGAGCTAAGAGTGTTTCTCATCACAGTGGAGTTTCTCAGTCCAAATAGGTTTCTAGCAGAAGAAAGTAGCCTGTACGATACTGAGAAAGGAAGCTCTCCAGATGGATTCATTGTGGGCAAATATAAATGAAAGCAATTCTGTGAGAATCTTGCCTTTGGAAGCAAGTGAACTATACCAGAAATATAAACAAAATCACTTAAGAATTTTGTTAAGCATATATTAATAACAGCTAACATTAATTGAGTATATGCTATATATGTGGCACTGTTTTGGGGAGAAGAAACTAGAAAGTAGGTGAATAGAATCAGTCATTTCTCACTCCTGGCTTTCTTCTATTTTGGGATCAAATGATTACTTTGGATGCTGGTAGAGCAATGATAATAACTACTAATGTTATTCACTGCATTAGCGATACAGAATGCAGTGTCTTTTTTCCCAATAATGTATTTGCAACAGTTACTATGGTATCAGTATTCAAAAATGTGACCATATCACCAATACTTCAAAATTGTGTGTGTGTGTGTGTGTGTGTGTGTGTGTGTGTGTGTGTGTGTGTAGCTCTATATACAGATCTGGGTCTGTATTGCATCAGTGCTAAGAACGCTCCAGACATGCAACTGAGGCCCAGGGCATGACAGAAAGCAGTTATTGGTTTGTCCTTGACATGTAAGGCAGATGTAATTGAAAACCTTATGATGATTATGCTGCTTAAGTTATTACAGTGATTTTCAATATTTAGAAATAAACTGAATAAAATGGAAACTTTCAATGTACTTCTTAGAACTCTATACTGATTAACTGTCCTGCAGTCCACTGTAATATAGAAACCATGTGCTATAACATTTTTAAAAACCTCCCACACCTAGAACATCCTCTTTGCATGCACTACTTGTCCATAACTGTTTGTTGATATAAATGCTATATAGCTGAGAGAAAGTCACTGAAGTGATTAGGAATTTCGGGTACATTACTTACAGTCTTCTCCAGAATAGAGAGTCACTGATTGAGGCTCAGGCCCTGAGCCGAGGTGATTGATAGCTTGGACTTGGACATCATAAGGAGCATAGACAGTAGGTGTCATCACCCGTAACGTATGGTTTGTGACTGTTTCTTCTTCCCACTCCACTGGGGCTCCCTGTGGCTTCCAGGACACTCTGTACTCCAGTCCTGGTCCATTCTGCTCCATGGCTTTCAAAGGCTGAAAAAGAAAGCAAGACTTATTCAGTCTGATCACAGATACCTTGACTCAGAGCTTGTTGTAAGTCATCCTACGTGACATAAGAAACCCAATCACAGAAGGGTCGTATCTCAGGAGATCCTAAATCCTCCTTTTTGACTTAGAAATAGTTGTAAAAAACTTTGCCATCATGTATGTTTAAGTTTGAAAATTAACCTTTCACCTCACACTTTAGATGCTTGGATTACACTTTTGTAGTTAAGTCTAAGTTTTAATATAGGAGATAATTTACAAATAAATTCCACAGAATGTTTTAGCTTTTTTTTTTTTTCTTTTGAGTTGGAATCTCACTCTGTTGCCCAGACTGGAGTGCAGTGGCCGCTCCTGGCCACCACAGCCTTGACCTGCTGGGCTCCGGCGATCCTTCTGCCTCAGCCTTCCGAGTAGCCGGAATTACAGGCGTGTGCTACCACGCCCGACTGATTTTTTGATTTATTGTAGAGATGAGGTCTCGCTGCCCAGGCGGGTCTCGAACCCGCGGGCTCAGGCAATCCACTCACCTCAGCCTCCCAAAGGCAAGGGATTACAGGCTGAGCCACTGAGCCTGGCCTGTTTTAGCTTTTGCCTATATTTTCTACTACATTCCAACTTTTCATTCTCAAAGGATTGGCAGAAATAAAAAGGACATGGCCATGATTTATTTGCTTGTGAATGGAATTCCTCTGTATATTTTGAGGGAGACCTCTTTCCTCCACCTGATTCATCCCTACCCATTTTTTTTCTATGAGAAGAGAGAGATTATGTAAATCTTTATTTTTGGAGGACATGTTTATACGTTAGTACCTAGAAGCAGTACCTTCTCTCTACAATAAAATAGTTTCCTGGGCAACCCCTTCAGGTCCCCTCCTACTGTGGGAGTTTTTCTGTCCTCAATAAATCCTGTTTTCTAAAAAAATAAAAATAAAAATAAATAAAATAATTTCTTACCTTTTAAACCACTCTGTTTCTGCTTCTCCAAGAGAAAATGCCTCCCTCACATACTTTATTTTGCTATACAGAAATATTTGGAGCTGGGTGCAAAGTGGCTTACATTTGTAATTCCAGCACTCTAGGAGACCAATGCAGGAAGATTAAGCCCAGGAGTTCAAGACCACCCTGGGCAAATAGCAAGACTCTGTTTCATCCAAAAGTAGAAAAAATTAGCTGAGTGTGTTGATGCCCACCTGTAGTCCCAGCTATTTGAGAGACTGAGTAAGAAGGATCACCTAAGCCCAAGAGGTCAAGGCTATGGTGAGCCGTGCGGTGACTAGGCTGCTACTGCACTCCAGCCTGGTTGTCAGAGTGAGACAGTTTCAAAAAAAAAAAAAAAAAAAAAGTAAAGAAATATTTGGTGGAGGAAATATTTTCCAGTACAGAAAATCAGTTATTTCCACTCCAGTTTTTAACTGAACTGAGCGCTGAGCAAAACTTTAATATTTTTTTTCAAAGTAATGTGATTTAAGCTACCTGTCTAATTTCAAAAAAATGGGAATGTGACCTCATCTCTACAATAAAAGAAAATGAGCGGGCGTGGTAGCGTGCGCCTGTAATTCCGGCTACTCAGAAGGCTGAGGTGGAAGGATCGCCGGAGCCCAGTGGGTTGAGGCTGTGGTGGCCGGGAGTGGCCACTGCACTCCAGTCTGGGCAACGGAGTGAAACTACAACTCAAATAAATAAATAAGTTATACAAAATACATTTTAAAATGTGACTTTAGTCCTAGGGTCACTCATATAAACAGAAATTTTTCTGTATGTGGGTGATTAAATAATGTCATCTATAGTGTTCTTACAGAATTTTGAATGCTTCTTGATTCAGTCCAATTTACTAAAATACTTATGAGAGGCATTGGTTGGAATTAAGTAAAAAGTGTAGTACTATATCAGCAAAATAATTTCAAGTGTATTCTCATTCCAAAATGGCTACTTAAATTAGCTAGGAGAAAAAAAATCAAAACAAAACAAAAACTTTCTGAGATTTTTCACAGTTATTGTTTAAACTTGCATTTATTGAAAAGTTTTACTCCAAGATAGTTTTGGTAAGATATGGAAATAAATTCATTAGGGGTTTCAGCATTGTCCAAATGAATTAGGCCCTGAGCTTTTAGTGTCATATTGCAATCTAGAATTATAATTTCCTTCAGATTCTACTGACAATAAATGTGTGCAAATGATATTATTCACTTTCCACATGTTTTGCTTTAAGAGAAAGTTATATTTAATAAAGGTCCCTGACAAATTTTAAAATAAACGGCAACACTTCTAACAAAAATCTTTTAGCTATATTGCCAGTCTCTTTGGTACCTGGGTTCCTGAATAAACAGCAGGGATAATTCGTATTTGACTTTTAGACAATGGCCAACACAACCTCAGATAATTCTCAAATAAGTTCCCAACAAAGATAAAAGACAAGAAGGAACAAGGGCAGGGCAGTTAGGAAGACCACGAGTCTTTTCCTCCCCTTATCCCTCATGAAGGTGCCCATAAGGAAGGAGTCTCTAGAAAAGGGGTTCTTAACTTAGGGTCCAGGAATCTCCAGTTGGAGCCCCCTCATGTCCTTCAAAGGATCTGAGAAGCCAGTGATATTGTTGGTACAACTTTTTGTGTATACTTTTTCTAGAAAAAGAGCCTATATATCTAACATAGTTTCAAAGAGATCTACAAACCAAACAAGGTTATAACTACTGATATAGAAAATGGATGGGCCCCCACCTTGGGGGAGGTGAATCTTTCTCCCTTCTCTCTAATTCACTTTTAAATAAACTTTTCTTTCTTAAAAAAAAAAAAAGAAAGAAAGAAAATAGATAGGAATTGGGCCACTGCCTTGCCTTGCTAGATTCTGGTGTGGCCATGTGCTCTTTGAGCTATGTCTGTCACCATACTTCCTGGGTTTGACCCCCTCCCCCACCATTGGAGGCGAATCTTTTCTCTCCCTTCCCTTTCTATCTCTAATTTACTTTTAAATAAATTATATTTTAAATTCTAACTTCTGTACAATTCTTCGCATCTTCTATGCAGCATCAGATTGCACCCTAAATGGCCACATGTGGGAAGTAATCTCTTTTTAAATAAATCTTTTCTTTTTTTGCCAGAAGAAAAGAAAATGGACAGACTGTCATACTGCCTTAATTCCATTTTACTTTTTAAAATATCTGAACACGTTTATTTTTAATTAAGAAATACAAATTGTATAAATTGAATATATTTATTATGTGCAATATGTTGTTTTGAAATATATATAAATTGTGGAATGGCTAAAAACACAATTTTGTGGTGAGAAAGTTTAAAATCTATTCTCAGCTATTTTTCAGAATATAATACATTGTTATTAACTACAGTCACCATGTTGTACAATATCTCATTTAATGCCACTGAATTTCACTTTCAAACAGGTGAATCTTCTTATTACCCTTACAATAGAAACAATGAAACCTAGATTCATTAGGAGTTAGCTTGATTGCAATCAAATAACCAAGTAATTTTATAAGTTCCTACTTCCTAGCTCGGCGCTGTGGCTCACACCTCTAATCCCAGCACTTTGAGAGTTGGAGGTGAGGATTGCCTGAGCCCATGGGTTGAAGATCAGCCTGGGCAACATGGTGAGAACCGTCTCTACAATAAATCAAAAAATTAGCTGGTCACACACCTTAGTTCCAGCTACTTGGAAGACTGAGGTGGAAGGATAGCCTGAATCCAGTAGGTAGAGGCTGCAGTGACCATGAGCATGCCACTGCACCCCAGCCTGGGCCACAGAGTGAGTTTATACTTCCCAACATGAGTAGGGTTTATGGTTTTTTGCTTTGTTCTGTTTTTTGGTGTCTTTGAAATTAGAAATCTGTTATTTTACTAAATAAGATAAAGATCCATATTAACATGCTTAAGAACAATGGAAACTAACAAGCAAAAATTATCCTGATGTAAGTATTTAACTTACTAATTTACAATAAGCTCTTTTTGTGTTTTGAGTCATAGAACATTATTATAATGTTTTAACACTTAAAATACATGAATGAATCATGATCTACCTAATATATAAAAAGTGAAGGTAATGCTAACAAAAATATGTTAATTTTAATTGAATCCTGTTTAATGCTAGATGAAAAGTATAAAACAAGCATAGATTAGGAATGTCTAGACTGTTGCTCATGCTTATCTGTGTCTTAATCCTTTTGTGAAAGATCTACTTTTTTTTTTTAACAAGTTGTGTCTCCCTAATCATTATCTTGTAGAAAATAGTTATTTTGTGATGTAGTCCCTGAAAAATTCATTAATGGTACTATGTACTTGTCAACTTGCGAAATATCTGGCATCTAACTTCTTTTTATAAGATACCCATAAAAAACAATACTCAATGAATGGATGTTCTTCAACTTCTCTGGCTGTGCCAGTAGTTATTAGATCTCTGATGCTTCAAAATAATATAAAATATAATGGGACATGTTATAAATGTAACTGACAATCTAGATCCAAATCCCTGTGATTAACTCCTTCCTCTAGTCAATTAATTACTAAATTACATATCATTGGCTCCTCAAAGACAATATAATCATTTTCTTGATGTAGTCCTATTCTTACAAGAAGAGAGCATTAGTAACCAGTCTGATGTATCTTCTGGGGAAAAAAAGAGTGACTTGTAGGTAAGAGGAGCAGTAAAGAAAACTAAAGATTTCTGCTCTCTATTCAATATGACTCAGCACATGAGTGAGGTCATTAAACCCTAGGAATCCTTACTTCTCTGTATGTAATATAAGCTGACACTATCAAGCAACTGTAGCTCTCCCAAAGGAATGGTGAGGATAAATGAGCTAACATTACTGAAACATGGTGAGCTTCTCTGAGGAACTGACCTGCAAATTGCATAGTATTTATCAATAGCTAATCAGTTATATTACATCTACCTTTTAAAAATTTCTGTGGGACTTAAAGGAGGATAACACAGATATACTCTAAAAGAATAAAAAGGATAACATAATTTTAGACTGTAAATTAAGTAATTATTAAGACAATGTGGTAGTAACTATTTATGGTCACAAATTCAAGGAAAGGAATAATATTCTTGGATATATTTAGTTTCTTTGTATTTCCAAATTTTTTCAGATTTCCTTCAGCTTAAATTCATATGTTAGTTTCATGAAATAGAAATAAAGGATTAATGTTGATTTTAAAAAGCATTGACTAACTATTTTGCAGATCTGAGCCATGTGATTATGTAATGAGTACAAAGATCAATATATGAGGAAAAAAACACAAGCCAAAGTGAATATATTTTTTAAATTTTTCCAAGAATCACACCTGGAATTATAAATGTGGAAATAAGTATATTGCAGTATACATTTTAAGATGTTCTGTGTTTGCGAAATATTTGAGGAATTCTCTGTTGGAAACCTATCATTAATCAGAATGGCTGAATGATAACTTACTTTCATGTAAGCCAATATAATTTTTCATGAAATATGTTCAAGTAGTAGAGAGAAAATAAAGTTCCCCACTGTTACAGAAGAAACTTTGAAATGACTCTAGGATAATTAAACTTATCTGTGCAGATATAAATTTTTATACCAAATTCAAAGAATTTGAGGTTTATATAGTAACATTTAACAGAGATATATAAAAGGGAAAAACGTGAGATTTGAAATCCATAGATATTCATATTTAAGTCCTAGTTTTGATAATTTCTAGCTGTGCTGTGTTGGGTAAGATACTCATCATTATGGTTGTCATATCTGTGACTGGAAAAAGGTGTTCATTATGCTTTCTTGACAAGATTAATCTCAGAAAGAAGTATACAAAATGCCTAATGGTGCTTAATAAGTAGTGGTTATTCTTTGGGAGTCATCTTTCTGATATGCATAATATCTAGTTGACCATATACTAACTTTAAAGGCTTTCAGTATTTTTTGAACGAGAGGGAATCTAAAATATTGATATTTAAAAACTATTAGGAATCTTAAACTCTGGTAATATATGACAATTAAGTCAACCTATATAGTCTTTCTTAAGTTGTTTTCCAGTGTTAAATTGTATTTCACAATGTATCATTCTAATCACAATGGTCTTTAAAATATACAATGATGACTCAGAAGCTCATTTCATCCACAAATCTTATCTTTTTGTTCTAAAATAATAATGTGCTAACATTGTACTCTGCAAGCAGACCTATGAGAAAAGAAAAAAGAGCACAAAGAATATATAATGCATTAAAGAACACTCACCTCCCATTTTATAATCATTTCCTTGGGTTGAGAAGCTTGAACCTTTATGTTTTGTGGATTCCTGTCTGGAGCTGAAAAATTATGAACATTGATATCATTTTTCCCATCTGGCCAATAAGTAAATCATATCATCCCACCCCACACCAGAAAAAAACAAATATTTACATAAATTTATTTATACTTAATTTATATCTGGTCCAGTTCACAAAATGATTTAAGGTAGCTTTTAAATATACATTTTATTTAAAGGAGTAAAATTGTGTTCTTTGGAGTGGTATAATTCTTATGCAATGGAGAGCAAATGATTTACTATAAGAGGGGGGACCAAAAGAAGAAAAAAACAAAACTGGAATTATTTTTTTAGAGGATGAGTCTCTTGTGATACAGGCTTCCCCTGCTAGGTAAGTGTTCTAGGAACGCATCTGCATCAGTGAACCAACTAGCATTATTGTGACAGGCTGCGTGTGACTTCAGTGAATTTTTTTTTGGAGATTCTTTCTAGGCATTTGACCATTTCATGATGGGTAATTTATGAGCACAGCTGCCCACACTGCACTGAGTGGTCAGCAGTTTTTGACCCAGAAGGGCATGACTCCTGTGCCCCACCCTCCCTATTCGTCCTATCTCATCCCAAGTTACTTTTTCTTTTGTTTCCCTGGATGAACAATGTCCTCAAAAGGAAACACTTTACTGATATGGAAGAGATGATGATGATAATAATAATAATAAAAAGCAGAAGCACTAAACTCATCGAAACTGGTGAGTTCAAAAGCCGTTTGAGCAGTGGAGACAGCATCTCCATAGGTGTATTGCATCAGAGTACTTGGAAGGTGACTGAACAAACAGTAAGAATAAATATACATTTTTTAATTAAAAATTCCAGTTTGGGGGGATCTCCCCCGTATATGTCTTAATTTGAAACCTGCTTTTAAAAATTTTAAACATGCTTCTTAGATGTGTGTTTTCATTTTAAATTTGCTTTACTTAAAAAAAATACTTATTAACAAGGGTGTCTGAACGATGCATATTTGTATAACTAGCCCTTAACTGTACCCGACAACTTAAAAAAAATATGTTTAAAAAATACTTATTTATTATAGAGTTGTGGAATAGAAGCACGGATTTACTAAGTAGACTGCATGCAAGTAAGGTTTGGGCTTCTAGATGGCCCTCACTCCCCCTGGTAATGGACCAGGTATCTATTGTTTACTTTTTTTTATTAGAATTGTCATTAGAAATTTAGGTTGTGAATATTTGCTTCTCAGGGAATAAATAATATCAACAGCCACATTTTAGAAATATCAAATAGAAAAGAGTAGTAATGTAGCTATAAATATTTTCAGATGGATTTATTTTATTAGAAGTAGTAATTTTTTAAACAATTTTACGACTTTTATTTAATAAAGCCGCATATTTACAATTCAAAATATAAAGTTTAGAACAAAGTCTGACATATCCCAAAATTACACAAGTATGCGATTCAATTATTATCTCAACTTGCTTTTCTCAGTCCAAAAAGAGAACTGTATCCTAGCATATTTATCTCACCCAAGGGAAAAAATAGATATGCTATGATGATCACATTGAAGATCAACACCAATTCAGTAACAAACTTTTAGTACTGTCATTCTTGAGATGAAAAGAAAAGCATTTTAGGAATTTAGATAAATAATGAAAGATTTAAAAATTCACTAAAGGCATAAAAGTTAATGAATGATGTTAGACACATTGAAAATTTAACAGTCTATAGTGAGTCAAAAGTTTTATTTCAGAAAGTTGAATCCTTGACTTTCCTACATATTGAACTTTAATTTAGAACTTACTTGATTATATTTGATCTAAACATGATACTTAGCCATTAGAAATTACTCAGAATAATGATTTCTTATATGTCACCCTCCTAATTTGCTGCTCTCTATCAAAATCTTATGTAATGCTTCTGAGACTGATGTACTCAACATTTTGTATGTTGTTAGTTTATGGAACTGTTCAAACTATTAGAGAAAACTTAAATCCTACATTATTCCATCAAACTTTTTTGTTCTTCAAATGTTCAGAGATAAGACCAAACCCAAATATTTTGTTAAAAACTTTATGTGGTAACCTGCATACCTGCTGGTGGTGTTTCATGATGTTCTGATGGCTGGCTAGGTTGACTTCTCCCTACTTCGTTCACAGCTATGACTCTGAACTGGTATCTCACATATGGAGCCAAAGGTAACATGACTGTTCTTGCCTTTCCTTGGACTCTAGTCAATTTCTCCCACCTTCCAGGTTCTTCTTTGTTTCCTTCAAATTCAACAATATACTCTGGTAGTGGGAATATGGAAAAAAATAAAAATGTATTGAGTATGTTTAAGTTATACCAAAATTTATATACAATATTAAAAGTTTAAAATAATATTTTAAGAAGGATAATCTACTAAGAGTGGTTTCAAAATGACTTCAGTGTTAATTTTGAGCCTATAGGGTAAAAACAAAAATTTTATCTCAAGTCTGCCTACCACTAATATTGCTATTGTGATTATCTCCAGCATCCCAGGTCAGTCGAACACTCCTGTTCTGTCTTTCAGACAAATGAAGGTTTTCTGGTGGATCCGGAACATCTAGTTAATAACAAAGACAAAAGTAAGGAAAATATAGGTCATTGTCTTTGCTTACCTAATTCCCTCACTCAGATACATTGCCAGCCACACTTCCTCTTTGGGACCATATCTTCACTTTTAGTTCACATTTCACCAGCCCCAAGGTTCTATTGCAAATGTAGTTGCCTTCACATCTATTCTTCAATCAACCATAATGATCTTCCTCTTCTCAGAATACAGTTCTCAAAGGGTCATCCCTGACTGGGGGCATCAGAATTCTTTTAAGAGTAATAATGAAGATTCCTAGGCTCGATCTCTGGCTTATAGAAGGAGGTAGGCCTGGGAATCTGCATTTACAACCAGATTCCCTAGGTAATGATTATGGACACTCAAGTTTGTGAAACATTATGTACTGCAAGTGGATCACTTACTTTCTTCCAGCGCATACTTATTTGTATGCCTGATTCATCTCATGTGCACGACTACAAGGACTTTCGAGAGTAGGGACCATGGTTTATTAATCTCTGCATTGCCCACAATGCTTTGCACATAAATATTTTGTGACTAAATAAGTGCAAAATATATTATCACTTCAATCAAGCATAGGATTATCAAATTAAAGCAATAAAAATTAGGTCCTTTGGTTATAGAAAAATAGAGAACGTGAACTCTTTTCTGCAACTGTGCTGAGTTTCAATGATAATTTATACAAGTTAATTCCCAAATATAAAATCAATTTTTATACTTCTTTGACCTGGTGTTTGGAAAAAGAGTAGAAAGGCAGTTCATACTGGAAGAGGGAGATTGGGCACTGATAAATGTTCTGACAGAAACTGAAAAATTGAGCAGGTGAGGACAAATTTTAATGTGCTAAAGTAAATGAGAATTTCTGGTACTTTTAAAATAAAGCAACAGTAAAAATAAATCTTATCTCTAATAGATTTTACTTTCAAAATTTGGTTGAATTCTCTCAAGTATGGAAAGACACATATTTTCTCTGCATAGACAATGAAGGTATTATTTAATGTATACTTTCTATGAGCTTTTTCCCCTCTGAGTGGGAAGCTTCGGCTATTGTTCCTGTTGAATACTTCCAATTGTTAAAAAATGTACATTGGCAAAAGCATAGTTTTCAACTCATGTTTTTTTTTCTAAAAAAAACAAAAGTGATTTGTGACTGTGTCCAAATTTTAAAGCCTTAAATAAAAAGTTATTTCTTTAACAAGCTTCAGAATCTCTGATATCAGAGAACTTATATTTCTGTTCAGTACTTACTAAGACTCCACTAATTTTTGAAGTCCTGAAATAACTAAGGTTATATGTTGCATTTTAGATTAAATTATCTTTCCTCTGAGAATCATATGGAGCTAGAGGGCTTTTGAAAATTATATTCTCAAAGCATGTTTATTTCAAGGTTTTTGAAATTAATTTTTATTGATGTAGGTCAAACATATGCTTTTAAAAATTGTTTTCCAGGAAAAAAATATTCTTTTAGAAACCACACGTGTCTATAATCATTTATTGTTTTCAGTTGATATGCTTTGGTAAATCAGAGGGTGGTCTAAAAATTTAGAATATAAGCTTTAAAAGTGCAAACCCTCTCATAGAATATTCTTTAAACATTATTTTTATTCTAAAAAAATTGGCAGACTACTTCCAATAAGTAGTACATAGAATTTCAGTCACAATTTATGTAAAACTAATCAAAGTATTCTTTAAAATGACAGCCTAATCACAAGAATGACATTTAAAATTTTTTAAGGAATTCGAGACAGCAACAAGAAGGAGGGTGTCCAGTCCCCTTGGTGACTGTCATTGCACAAAATCGTGGGGCAGAGACTGTGGGTCCTGACACTTACCCCTAGACTCACCGTGCCTGAGATGAATTCCAGTTTATCTGAAGCTCAAGTATTTTATCAGATAAATTACCAAATGGAATAATTTCTAGAGGATTAAATACTTCTGTTTATACAATCCTGCAGAAGATCTAGACCTCATCCAAATCCCTTCAGTCTAGGGTTCAGTACCTATGGTCAAACATCTTGCCTAAAGGTAGAATCAATTCTACTGAGCAAAGACCATACCTTCTACAACCTGAGAAAAATTTGTTGTTGTTGTTGTTGTTGTTTTGGAAGGACGCAACCCGGTGGCATTTGCTATAATTGAAGAAATTCTGCCTATCTACCCTTTTTTTTTTTACCAGTCTACCTCAGAAGAGACTGATTTTTTTCTCCTCTCATTGTATAGTCCTTGCTAGCAACCCACCTGTGGACTTCAGCAATCAGAGTGCTAAAAATACAAAGGCTTGCTAATAACAGTGATTAATCCAGATATTTTATAAAGGACTTCAGACAAAACCAAACACTTTTAAGGAACATCAGCAAACTAAAGAAAAGAATAAATAGTGCCCCCTAAAACATAATAAATGATAACTATAAAAAAATATGTGTAGTTATCAGGGTCCCAGCAGAAAATTAAATAATGTCTCACACAATTTAGGATTTCTCAAAAAGCTTTTTTTAAAAACTCCTTATAAGGATGTGGACTGGATTGGGCATAGTGACTCACACCTGTAATCCCAGCACTTTGGGAGGCCAAGGTGGGAGGATTGCTTGAGCCCAGGCATTTGAGACCAACCTAGGCAACATAGGAGGATAATTCTACAAAAACAAACAAACAAAAATAAACCAGTCATGTGTCATTTCCATGTAATCCAAGCTACTTAAAAGGCTGAGGCAGATGGGCTGCCTGAACCCAGGAGGTCAAGGCGGTGGTTAGCCATGATTCATGACCCTGCACACCAGTCTGGGCAATAGTGAGACTCCAACTAAAAAACAAAACAAAAAGAAAAGATGTGAGCAGGATGCTCAGTGGGTTGGGTATGGGGGGGACTTGAAATCCTGGTGGTGGGAGAATAGTTAGTAAAACCCCATCAGAAGGAATTGTGTGGAGAAAGCCTGTCTGAAGAAGCTATGACTTTGGCAGTGGGAGACAACCAGTCCGCAGGGAGGGAGTAAAGAGAATCAACAATCCTCTACACCGGGCCTTCTCATTGTCTGAACCAAATGAAAGCCAGTGCTCAAGTGGTTTGTGATTTTTTTACAGGCGATCTTTCTATGTCAAAGAACTGGTAGAGAGAGGTTCTGGAAGGGAAATTGGAAAACATCCAGCAGATGGTTTAAGAGCTTTAAACATTGGTGATTTCAGGGGTAATTGCATTGATTACACTAGTGAAATGTGCACACTCTTTTCTAATTAGCATTATCATTAAAAAAAAACAAAAAAAAAACAAAGGCATTCCTCTGCAGGATGCTAGAAGTCCTTCCCCACCCTTCCTGGAACCCTGGGAATTCAGTTCATGCCTCCAGTTTAGAACATGACCTCCATGCATTCACCTCTAAACCTTCATCCAGATCCCTCCAGTCCAGCTCACCTCCATTCTTCAGCCTAATTTCTCTGCACACCAGGAAAGGGTAGCTCAAGACCACTAGGAACTCAAGCATGCTTTATTTTTCTTTCTACTGATAGCATAGCTTAACTCCCACTGCGAAAGGCAAACTTACTCATGTAGGGAAAGAAAATTAAGCATTAATTAACTTCTTTTATACGGGAAGAGGAGAAAGCATTTGAAAGTACGATTGCTTTTTAAACGAATGATTCAAATTAGCAATGTATGTGCAGGGGCTCAAATAATCATTGGCATTATTGTCTAGGAACAATGGAATTTAATCAACAATGGAGAGGAAATGAACAGAAGTTTCTCGTTATTGCACTTACCAAGGACAATTACTTGAGTTATATCTGCAACACTATCTAGAGCAGTTTGAGCTGAACAGGAGTAAATACCTTGATCCTCTAAAGTGATATTTGATATGGTCAAATTAGCTCCGTCAATAATTATCCTACCAAAACCAAAAAAAAGTGAGTATATGATAAGGATAAAAACAACAGACAACAATAGAAAGACAATCTTTTCAAAATCCTTTCTATTCCCCACAGACATGATTTGAGGAGGAGTGAAAAAACAACTTCACATAATGAAAATTTGATCAGAGGATGCCACAGTGGAAACCTGGAAAGAAAGACAAATTCAAGCATACGTAAATATCTACATAGCCATAAATAGGTCACAGTTTTAAAAATTATGAAATCCAACCAGCCATCTGTGATGTATGGATCAGTGATGAAACTGTGTGTTGTCTAACATGTTTTTAAAAATTCCATAAATTACAATAGCCAAAATATATTTGAATAATTCTTAAGGTATATTTAGGGAACCACCTACATAGGATCAACAGATACACTTCTTACAAAAGCAGGTTCCTGAATCCCACCCCCATTCCACAAAACCAGAATAGCTGAGATGGAGTCTGACAATCTCCACTTTTTACAAGTTCCCCTTTTCACCACTCCTCCACCTCCCAAGCAGAAGGCATAGTAGGACAGGATAACAATTAAACCATGTGATCTATTTGAACAGTAGATGGCAGTCTAGGACTTGTTTACCTTCAACTAATTTTTTTTTTTTAATCTTTTCTTTTATTAATTGTAATTAGGTTTACTACATAAAAATTGCTTCTTTATAAATTATGCCTTTTACTTTGTTCCTATGTATTGTCAACATAACTTTCAGGTATTTAAGTTCCATTAAATTTAACATATATTCACAGCAATTACCATTTCATTAAAATAATTTAAATAGTGTCATCTTATGGGGAGAGAGGCAGATTCTCACATAACTGAAAATTTTTCAAGTAACATTTACATAAGTTGCTGAGAATTTTGAATGATAAACACTTCAAATTGCAGTAAAATTAAATATGGTTCTGCCTTTTGATTATAGACAGAACCAGCCTCATATTCTTATACAATAACTGAATGATTTGCCATGTTAATACTTGATATTGTTAGACAAAATCCTCACTATAATTCTAGACATGATAAAACTTTGACATAAATTAATTTCTCAGTTTTTGTTAGTTATGAATCCATTTGAATGTTGCATACACTGACAAATTTAGAAATATTTACTTTCTTAAGTAAAGGAATACACTTTAATAACTTCTTGAAACAGGGCTTTTGTGCCCTGCAAAAGCCACTCATCCATAAGCTAAAATCTTCTTGCCAAGATTTATACCCATGGTATGGGCTGCTTTAGATCAGAAAGGAAGTTATCAACTTTTTGGTAACTCATTGTTACATTAGGTCTTTTTTTTTCAACCTCTCAAATGTATTTTAGGTGTCACAAATTAATCAAGGTAAAGTAACTTAGTTGTCAAAATTTGGTGGTCACGGCATACATAAAAAGCTTATTAAAAATGTCATGCCCCAGCCTCAGTCCAAGCTATGAATCAGAACACTGGAGGTAGGGCAAGGACCATTGTGTTTGAACATGAGGCCTAGGTAATTCTGTCACATGTCAAAATCTGATAACTACTTGCATCAGCAAGAACATACTATGTTTGCTTCAGTAACAAATAGCTCCAAATTCTCAATGCCTAAGAAAATAATTGCTTTATTTCTCTCTATTATGTCCCATCTCAAGTCAACTAAATTCTGCTTTAGTATTTTTATCATTTCTACTCTGTAGAACCTCTTCTTTAGCTTCATGTTAACATCTTTGTGTCTCTTCCCCCCCCCCGTCTTTACCTGCTTAATCACATCACCTGAAAAACATATCATCCTAAAACCTTCCATCTCCTTCGTCTGTAGCAGCCAGTTTGCTAATCTCTAATCCCTATTAACCTCTGTTATTGTCTTATTCCATTTTATCTGAGTAATAGCCATGTTTCCCTCAGGCAATATGACAACAGGATTCTCTCCTTGGAGGCCTGTGTTTGAGGCTCAGTCCCATCCATTATTGGTTGTACAGTCTTGAACAAAACATTGAGCCTAATTCACCTTATCTAAAAAAATGGGGATAACAATATCTTCTTTCTCTTTAGGAACAGTAAATGAGATTAAGCACATAAAGTGATTAGTGTATACAGCCTGACATCGTATGTGTTCAGAGACTGTTACTAATAATATTAATCAAATTGATTTCATTCATTTCTGGCTTATCACTAATCACATTTCTCATGGTTGATATTTTAATGTCCCCAACTCCCATTCCTCTTGCCTCTCTGATTGAACAAATTACCTTAGTTTCTAATTTGCTAGGAAGACTCTTCACTGTGACTGCCTTATAATATTTGCATCTTCATTTTCCCCCTCCTCTCCTTATCCATTTGCCACCATTTCTGAAGGGACAGAAGTAGTTCTTCCTTGGTGCCAAGAAAGAAATTTCCCCTTATGTTCTCAATACCCTTTCTCCCATGCCCTCCTCCTCACCAATATATAGCATATCCCTCCCTCCCACGTCACTGCAGTCTCTCTTGCAGGGAAAGGTCCCTCACTTTGCCTATGGTCATAACACTGTCTGTTATCTTTGTTAAGCACAGTATAAATTTTAATAATGCTATTGTCTGTGTTATTTTTCATAACAATAGTGTGCTGTCTATAGCCACCTGCTGGGTAGAAATCCACAGAACATTTCTTGGAGTCATTTCAGCCTACCTATTAGGGTTGCCACGAGGATTAATGAGGAAAAGTATGCATGGGAAGTACTAAGATAACATGAAGTACTCAGTGAGTATAACAGTCCAGTGTGGCAGTTTCCAGCACTTACCATACCCTGCACAAGAAAGGGAACAGGAGGGAAGAGAGGAAGGAATTTTTACTTCTTACTGTTCGCTATGTACGTTTGATGAGAAATTTTACCTCTTTCTAGGTAAAAGCTTCTGGTTCCTAGTCTAATGATAAGAAAAAGCTGTCTCAGCAGGAAGTGAGAGCCCAAGCTTACTGATATTCTCTAGAAATTTAGCAGATACCTGTGATCACCACTCCTTGCTATATTTCCATGCCTGCCTTTGGCAGCCATCAGAAACAGCCTTCCTCACTCCTGGGGCTTCTTCTGAACTAAGGTTACTAATCCCCACCACTTGTTCAGGGAATGCTGGAAGAACATTTCTGTCACTTGTTCAGTCCACTCAGACAGCCAGATATTTATTTGAGTGTCAGTCTCACATCCCACAAAAACTGTAGAGCTGGGCCACACAAAGAGGCTGTTTGCAGTTTCTGGGGTCAGAGCCTAAATTTGTATGTCATAGTACCAACAGGGCTATGTACCAACAAAACATAATATCACAAATGGACTGTGTACTTCGTATTTTCTAAGTATTTGGTATGTTAAGTGACAATGACCCAGTGATGAAGGTAACTTTTTACTTTTTAAAATCCAACTATGTAATAGAAAGTAAAACTAAGGCACAGGGATGTTAAAAGACTTGTCTAAGGTGACAGAGCTAGAATTTGAACCTGGGCTACTGAGCTCCAGAATTCACACTCTTAACCATGACATTGCTGCTGACTCATCCAAGGAGTGCATGTCCTATCTAAAGACCCTCATGGTTACTTTTTTCAGAGCAACGAATCACAAAACTAACTGCAGGTGAGATATGACTCCACGATGGTCATTTTAACCCTTAATTAGTAACAATGCAAAAGGAAGCAAAGCTGACCTTCCATGTTTTCAACCCAGAGAGTACACATTCAGTAAATATTTATCTTTTTCTCTTTATTTGATGTACTTAATATTGTCTAGTGCTATTCAGTATCCATTCACACTTTATTCTATATTCTCTCATCTGTATTTTTCTGTATTTTCTGTATAGATATTGAAAGACAAAAAAAAAATTGCCAATACTTTCTAGCAGGAAGAATTCCAGATATGATTTAGGCTTTGCAAGTGAGATAGACATATGAGATTGGAGAATAGAAGGCATATGGGCACCATCTTCCCTGCAGGAATGGGAGCAGGTAGCAGTACTGAAAGAAATGAGTGGGCAGTGCCTGGACTTATTAATAGTACCAATGGGGGGACGTGGCCATGAAGACAGTAGCAGTTGCCAGAAGCATAGATTGCACCTGCAGTACTGCCATGATCAAGAACTCAAAAGATTAGTATGCAGTCCCTTCTATGCCTAGCTCTTCTAGTATTTTTTGTTTTGTTTTAAGCACCCAAGCCCCTGCAACACATTTGCCTCAGTTATCTAGAGCGGTTTCTGTTTCACAAAAGTCAGTGGCAAAATCAAGAAGATAAACATGTAATAGGAAAGTGAAGTGGCTTGACTAAAATATATTTGTTAGTTTTTATATGTTAATTCAGTATGTATACTTTGAGAACTTTTTTTTCAAATGCAAGGTGTTTATCTCAAGCAAATATCATGATATATCATAATCGTTTACCTACCTGCCATCGTCTGTGCCATTAATTTCAAAGGCTCCTCCATCTTTACTCCAGGATAACTTTAAACTATGTTTCAAATGTGAGTCACAATTGCTCTCGCAATGTAATTCAAGTATATGTGATTTGGGGATACGAGGATTCTTAGGAAGAACTGTAAGCTTCGTAGCATCTGTTTTCACCAAAGATATTGGTTAGAACTACAGAGCACAACTTACTTTGTTATTAAACACATGCAATTTAATCAACCAAAATTGTCAACATAATAGTCAAATCCTCATTTGATGTTTGCCCTATTGTAATTTACTAGCATCACATATCATTACAATTTTGTTTCCATCCAGGCCTGGGCATGTAATGAAATTTAGACAAAAGTATCAATTATAGTTTAGCAATTTCCCTCACTTCCTCTTGGGCAAAGGGAGTAAGCCAAGTGTAAGGTAAAAAAGAAAATATCTCTAGAAGTTGAATTATTTTATTTGAATCCCATTACTTCTAGAGATATATTCTAATCCCATTTCTATTACATCTAATCTAGTTGATTCAAATTTTATTTGAATCCCACTAGAGTAAATGTCTTCTAGTACTTCCAGATATGTAATCAAAGCACTGCAAAAAAAGGTGGGGGGGTGGGGGGAGGAAAGGGTTAGTTGATTTTCTACTAGCATGTTTGTTATTAATTCAGAAACTTAAGGTTAAAATGTGGCACTTGGCACCTCTTCGGAGACCAGATTGCATGAGCTGACCTCTAACTCCAAGATTCTTCTCTAATATTTACTACTTGCATGTTTCTCAAGGAATTGATTAAAAGCTAAAAGTGTTAATAAAACTGATTATTTGGTAACCTGGTGCATGGACAAACTGCAACATGAAGGTGGGAAATTAGTAAGTAAGCCCCAGTCAGGCTCAGTGGCTCAGTCTGTAATTCCAGTACTTTGAGAGTCCAAGGCGAGTGGACTGCCTGAGCCCGTGTGTTGGAGACCAGCCAGGGCAACTCAGCGAGACTTCATGTCTACAATAAATCAAAAATTAGCCGGGTGTGGTAGCATATGCTTATAGTTCAGGCTACTTGGAAGGCTGAGAAGGAAGGGTCACAGGAGCCCAGCAGGTCAAAGCTGGGGTGGCTATGAGCGTGGGTGAGACAAAGAAAGAAAGAAAGAAAAAGACAGACAGATAGAAAGAAAGCAAGCCCTGTGAAGAAAGGGCCTGTTCCTGCTTTTGTTACTTAGCAGTATCCCCAGAACCTGTAAGGGGACCTCTACACAGTGTGCACTCAATAGATATTTGTTGAATTTCTTATTGATTGAGTTACACTGACTATAGTTTAAATAAAAATAAGTTGGTAGTATCAACAACATGAAGTTTAAGACTGGTACTATGGCTATCTTGAAAAATGTTTGCTTCATTATGATTGTTTCAAAACATACGATACTTACTATTTAAGGCACTTGACATTCAGGGAGCTCCCAGAGACCAAACTGCATGAACTGCCCTCCGACACTACAATTCTACTCTAATATTTACTATCTACATATTTCTCAAAGAACTGATCACAAACTAAAAGTGCTAATAAATTGATTGGTATCCAAGGCATAAAACTTGAACACATTATAAAATTGAATTCATTTTTAGTGAATTATTATATAACCTACTCCTAATTCTAAATTTAAAGTTAGCAATCAATTTAATAATAATAGATACAATTTAATAAGCATAGGTTTATTTACCAGGACTCTGCTAAGAAGTTCTCATTCATTGCAGCATTTTATAACTCTATGAATACTAATATTCCCACCTTGCAGAGAAGAAAATTTAAGGCTAAAATGAAATTCAATGATGAGACCAAAGTTTTCTCACTGGCAGGGGGCTGAACTAGGATTTAATTCCAAATCTAGCTAAGATCAATGCTCATACTTTCTTTTTTTTTTCTTCTTCTTTTTTTTTTTTTTGAGTTGGAGTCTCACTCTGTTGCCCAGACTGGAGTGTAGTGACTGCTCCTGGCCACCGCAGCCTCTACCTGCTGTGCTCCAGTGATCCTTCCACCTCAACCTTCCAAGTAGCCTGAAACAGGCATGCGCTACCATGCCCGGCTGATTTTTTGATTTATTGTAGAGATGAGGTCTCGCTGCCAAGGTGGGTCTCGAACCCACAGGCTCAGGCAATCCACTCACCTCAGCCTCTCAAAGGCGAGGGATTATAGGCTGAGCCACAGAACCCGGCTCTCATACTTTCAACCACCTTACTACACAGCTTCATATTCAACTCCATTCTCCAAGTTCCTCTTTCTATGCAAAAATTGTCCTTAATCCTTCATTGACATGATTTGTATATATTTCTTACCTATAAAATGGACACTAGAGTATAACAAAAGTTCATGAACTTGCCCACTAGTCTGACCACTAGCAGTTTTGAGGGTCCTTTTGGGCCAGCATTAATTAAGCAATAGGAATGCAAAGTTTCATTTAGATTCCAGGCTTTTCTCTCTTTAAAACTGGCTGAGTTGCTTAACCTTGATATAGGTTTACTTTTTTGAAGTATAAAAATAATTATCTTCATTGACGTCACAAGAGCATCTTGAAAATTGTGCATGACACTTTGGAATGCAGGGAGAGATCAGAGATTAGTAGACATAGTAAACATTATAAGAAAATATTTTGTATGCTTTAAAAATAAAGTTCATGGATTGGCACATTGGATAACTAAGGACACAGAAAGATATAAATACTACAAAACACATGAATATAGGACAGAAGAGAAGAAAAAAAGGAATGAAATAAGAGAAGATGAAGGGTGTATATGGAGAGAAAAAGTGAAAGAAATGTCAAGAGATCAGTGAAAACAGATGATGGAACAAATATGTGCCCTCTCATCTAGGTAGGGTTAAGTAGCAGGTCAAGATATGATAGAAGAAACACAAATCTTCCCTACTATTCCTGTAGGAACTTTCTCATCTTTGTGTTTTCCTAAGAATTCTCTGAGCAATATTAAACGTAAAATATCTTGGGAATGCCTGTATATGGGATTCAAGTAAAATCAAAATATTGGTGGAGCCCAGAAAACTATTAACAACTCCCAGGACCTTGTCCGGAAGTGAGAAAGAATAATACAAAACTGATAATAAAAAGAAAGCAAAGTCCTCCTCATTCCGTCATGCCTCAGTCTTTTTAAAGCTGAACTTTCATGAGTGTGTAAAATTTTTGACTCAAATACTTTATTACTGGTAACATTACCTTGAGTTGGCTTTTGAAATAAAATATAGTTACAGTAATACAGCAAAATAGTTAACTTTTAAAGATTGTCAGTTACTCATCATAATGGACACCCAACTTACTCTTAAAATTGTGTAAAGCTGTGCATATATCATTGGCGTACCCAGTGATTCTGATGATAGTCTTTTAGCTAAAACAAATCTAGGAGTTTTGAAAATGGTCTAAAGAACATTAACAGGTTCACAAACTTAAATCGTATTACTCCACTTGGGAAAATGAAGACAGACTGAACTCATGTGAGAATTCATGCAAAGTAACAGAGAAATGAAAATACTTCTAATATCCAAATTGGCTGTGACTGCAGTTTTTCCTATGGCATTTTCTACCCAACAAGAGTAAGACCCAGCATCTTCTTCAGTGGTTCTGTTGATCTGTAATGTGCCATTTTCATGGATATGGTACCGCCTGCCTTCCAGGGGTTTTGCTTCCTCCACCTTCTGCCTGTGGACATAGAAAGCATACATCAGTGCGAGGTATGGCAGAATTGTATACTCTCTTTGATACTAATTGCTAATGTCATTCAGGCAGGAGCTCAGCAAACCTTATGAAAACGAGTTTTATATTTTTCTCAGAATAGATCATAGATGCATATCTTATTTGCCCGAATAGACTATGGCTAGAGAAAAACCCAAGTCCAAGCTCTATGTTTCTGCTGTTCTTCTCATAGCTTCCAGCACCATTTTGCTTGTGTTCTCAGAACTTAATAAATACTTTCTGGCTTATTGATGGTGAACTCTTTAGTTAATGATTGCTCCAGGGCACTAAATGGGAAAACAAGTAATTGAAAGAGATAATGAACCTTCCTAACCCCCTGCTGTCCTGGAAGAACATTGGTCATTCAGAAATAGTATAAGTCAGGAAGTCTGGCCTGTCCTGTGGACATGGATTACACAAACCCTGTCAACCTCAGAGTCATTTTTTCCTACATTCATCCATTTTCCAAGCATTTGCTGCCATAGTTTGATTTATCCTGTACAATTCAAAATAAGTGACTGCTAGAGCTAAAAAATTCAAAGGACAATCTATGGCTGCTGTTCACTCAGAATTTTACAGGGAAGGGACTAGGCTGCTGTGAAGGTGGGTTGGGAGCTTATATTAGATGCCAAATTTAAGGGGGTGCCAAACATCTCAGTAACCAAGTACAATAATATTTTAATGGCATATTTAAAAAAAAATAAATAAATGCAAAAAATCTATGATGAACAAAATATTTATGACAATGTTTTAAATAAAGATAGGATCTGATCCTTTCTTTATTTAGTGTATAATCCAGGCTCACTTCTTTCACCCTGAGCTGCAGGATAACAGCAAACTTATTTAAGAACGGTTCAGCTAAGCTTTTTCAGCAAAGCAACTTATATGTTAGATCCATAGAAAAACAGGCTTGAATTATGACACCAATTAACATACTGAAGTAAAATAAAAGTGAATATTAGAAAAGACTGAAGCATATGTGTCTGGAATTAAATGAAGAATTAGAAAATTATTTAGATAATCCTAAAACAACAAAAATAAAGTAAAATATGTTCTTGAGGTATCCCCATAGTGAAAAAAACAATTCTACCTTTAAAATGGACTTAGTGATCACTTCAATTTTTTGCTTTTCTTTATAAACATAAATAGGTCTCTATTTGAGAAAATTCTAGAAACCTAGCCAATGTTTTCAGAAGAGGTAATTCAGCCTGTTACTTTATTTCTTCGAGGCATAGAGTACAATATGGATACAACATAGCCTGTCAAATGATGGATGAAGAAACAAAGAGAAATCTACAACTGACATGCTCTTAAGAAAACCGAACACCAGCTTACCAGGACACTATTGCCTCGGGTGAAGCAAAGAATTCGCAATGCAAGAAAGCACTGTACCCAACCACTGTAGCATAATCTTCTTCATCTTCAGTTTGTATTAGTGGACGAACATCTATTTGAAAATAACATAAATACAGCTTTAAACCTTCATGTAAGAAATGTATGCAAATTAATTTTTCTATGTCCTAGCAATATGAATAAACATGGGAGACAGCTGAATATTATAGTACATACTTTTGATTTAGAAGAGTATCCACATTCAATACATTTTTGAAAGTATAATTTCAGTATGAAGTCTAATACCCAAATTTACAGTGAAAGGTGCTTTGATATTTTTCTCCCCATGTTTTATGTGTCAAAAATTCAATTGGTACTTGCAAATATGACCTTGACCATTTTCCTTCAGAGGACAGCAGGTTATGTCTGCTCTCAGGTACACTTACCCACAACGTCAATATTGGCATTGGCAAGGATAGTTCCGTGGACGTTTGAGGCTTCACACTGGTATACAGCAGTGTGATTTGGTTGTAGATTGGTAAAACTGATTTCCCTGGGGAAGACAACATCACCAGCAAATGGATGATCTGAAAGAGATTAAAGAATGTCAGTTTGATAAAGAATAGGGCATAAAATATTTAGACATCGATGTATTAAACGTGTCACACAGTATTTATATTTTAAGACCAGTTTAGGGTGAATAATAGTTCATGGAAGCCAATTCTTTAGACTTTCTGAACATCAACCATTGGTTTTTATTTCCAGACCCTTTTGCATTTTCAATCATTCTTCAAATTAATATTTATTGTCAAGCCATATGTTGATCTATACCTCACAGATTTTCCATACACATAGTCATATTCCGGATAATCTGTTTGGCATTCAAGACCTATTAAGAACTGACCCTTACTTGCTCTTCTGAATTTTTATCCTGATACTGCCCATCACAAATCACATGGATAACACATCATGATCCCACCAAACCACCAATATTAACCTCTGTTTTCCCTCTTGACATCTTTGTTCCTGTTTCACTTCTCTGCCCATTTGCAATTTTCTGATATGCACCATTCATATCATTAGTCTTACTTCATTATTGAGCAACTTCAGGTACATAGATTATATATTTCATTTTTCCAGTATGACAAAATCCTTCTTTAGAGGATGGGCCAGGTTTTGTAAATCAGGGGGGCAATAAGGCCTACCTCACTTCTGATCCAAGTATAATTCTGGAAATATCTTTTGGAAATGAGAATATGAACACTTCTGGTGCATTTATTAGGGCCAAAAATTTCACTGGATATGGTACATGGAGTATCTCATTACCACTGCTCAGAATCTGCTGGTTTTGGTGTTTTTATGGCCATTTTAGGAGAGGGGGCTTAATTTCAGGGAAGTAGAATGACACATCCACCGCACTAGACCATTTTTCTCACTCTAAACTCTATGCCCTTGCTGTGATACTCCCACTATCCCCCCAAAAAGCAGTGGAAAGGAAAACATATTAGCTAGGAATGTCAAGAGAAGGGAACGTGAAAATTTTTAGTTTAAATGACATTACAAGGTTACTAATCAATCTAATATTTTATTGTTGTTGTTTTCTGATTGTGTCTCCATTATACAAAATAGCGACTATACTAAGTTTTAGGTGACAAAAAACACTGAAAATTACATATTAAAATAGAAGTCTTTTCTTATACATCTTTTTCCACCTGGAAGTCATATAAGAATATATTTTTTTCAATTAACTGTGAGTTTCCTGAGGGCAGGATCCTGTCTGCATATTTGTAAAATGTATCACCAGTGCCTAAAGAGCAGCTACTACAGAGAAGGCAATCAGTAAATATTTGTTGGAATGACTGAAAAAGTTATGCTGGGTGGCATTTTATTTCTGAAAGGCCCCTGAAATTAGACTGAACAATAGTCCTTGAAAGATGTCTACCTCCGAATCCGCAGAATTTGTAAATATGTTACCTTACCTGGATAGAGAGACTTTGCAGATATGGTTAAGGTTAAGGACTTTGAAATAGAAAAATTATCCTGGGTGATCCAGGCGGGCCCAATGTAATTTCAAATCTCCTTAAAGTCAGAAGGCCTTTCCTGGCTGTGGCCAGAGGGAGATATGACTATGGAAGAATGATCAGAGAAGCAAAGTAGCAGGTTTTAAAGAAGGGGAAGGGAATTGTGGGCCAAGGAACGTGGGCAGCCTCTGGAAGCTGGAAAAGGCAGAGAAAGGAATGCTCTCCTAGCTCTAGAAAGGAACACAGCACTACTGACACCTTGAGTTTGGCCCAGTAAGACTTATGTTAGACTTTTACAGAAATGTAAAACAGTAAATATACATTGTTTTAAACCACAAAGTTTGTGGTAAATTGCCATAGCAACATTAGAAACTAATATAATCCCACAATTTGTCACTTATCCCTTAAGACTGGACTCTTAAAGAGCACTGCAAAGGATGGAGTCTCTGATACAATTCTTCACTCATATATCCCATCCTGAGCCCTAAGCCTTTCAGGGTTTATGCTATCTTCCCCTTTAGTTCTTCTTATTCCATGTGACCCATGTATGGCTCTGAGTCAATACAACTTTACAAAAGAAAGAAATTAAATCATGACCTCAAGTCTGAACTGAAAAACAATTAAACATTGATCAAATCTGCTTCCTAGGATAGGTATGGACACTGCATGAGTATTGTTGCATATTGGTAAAGGCTATAAGAGCTCCCAGAATTCAATAAAGCCAAGTCTTTATAATATCAAACAAAACATATTCATCCTAACATAATTCCGAAACTCTTTGTCAGTTCTGTCTTTAGTCAGCTCAGTAGGAAATGATATAATGCAGTAAGAGAAGTTTTAGCTCTGGACTTAATCATTTCTGGGTTCCATTTCTGTCTCTAAATGTACCTGGGATGTGCCCTCCAGGAAGTAATGTAACCTAACTGAGTCTCAGTTGCCACACCTGCAAACTGGAGAATAATAGAATCTATTTATTCAAGGATCCCTGAGACTCAGAAATATTAGATGCAAAGCATGTGAAAAGGGTTAGGCCTGTAATCACTAATAGACATCACTGTGAATAAATTTTGAAATAATACAGGGAAAGCATATATAATTCCTAAAACTTTAAGCTCAAAGAGATTTCAAATCCTTTAGCCAGCCCACTGTCATCAAACATCCCAATCTATAAATGTTTATGACTTGTTTGCAAAGAAGCAAAAAGCTTCTTTTTGTGCTTTTGTGGTCAAAAGCTTGGCTTTCAACTCTGTGGCTTTGTTTTGAGGCTTACTCTTGTGCTATGCTATCCTTCCTAAGTTTATCTGCCTTGACTCCTCATTCATGAATAAACCTATTGGCCTATTGGTTCTACTTTGGGAATAAATCCAGAACATAACCACCACTGCTTCCAATCTAACCCTGGGCCCAGAGTCTCTCAAGCAGCATCTACCTGGAGTCATACTAGTTTATTCTCCACTCAGAGGCCAAAGAATTCCCTTGATCAAGCATATATTAAATTATGTCACTCCTCTGCTCAAAATTCCCCCACGAGCCTCCCAGTTTATTCCTAGTAAAATCCCAGGGCCCTACTTGGGCTCTCACCTTTGCCTTTGCTCTGGCCCCTTCCCCTCTTGGCTGATCTGGTGGCCCCATGCTGTGCCCTCCTCATTCCCTCAGCTTCAGTCCCACAGGCACCTTTTCCCTCCTCAACCAGTCAAACTCACCTCCAGGGCTTTGAGCTCACCAACCTCTCCAGACTGAAAGTACATTCACAGATATTTGCAAGGTTGACTTCCTCCCCGCCTTCAGGTATTTACTCAGAAGTAAATTGCCACAAGGGCCTTATTATTATTATCCTAAAATAAAATAGCAACCTGGTTCTGGGACCTCTTTTACACTCCACCATCCCAGCTATTTTCTGCTTTACGACACTGTGCTGCACACTCGTGTGCTTGTCTGTTGACCATCCCTCCTGACTAGAATGTCAGAGCCAGGACAGTAGGTAATCTGTCCATTTTATTCACGGCTCGCTGTGTCTCAAGCAAGAAGCCCACTGCCTGGCACATAGCAGGTACTCGATCAATATTACTGAATGAATGAATCTGTTAAATATGAACATAATATCTCCTTTAGTGAATTCCAAGTAATTTGTGAATGTCTTTATAAACAGCCAAGCACCATTCAAATATAAAATTTGATGAGTTTATGTTCCACAGAATCTGCATTACTAATTTTAGCAACCCGAACATTCTTGATAAGCAGAAATTGTTTTCATTTCTCTTTGATTTACTAAAACCTCCTTTAAAAAAAAATGTGTATTCTATTCTCTAAAGAGACAAGGAAAATGTTTCAAATTTGAAGATTATAATAATGAGGGCCATGGTTTCTTGAGTGCCTTCTATGTGGAAACAATAATAACAATAATAATAAACTGTACTTTGGGGTATGCTGTTAGTATGACAATCCCTGTGCTACAGTATTTGTAGGGTGTGTCCTTTAATCCATATAACAAGCCTGTGAGTCAGCGCTATTTTCATCTCCATTTTGCTGATGAGGAAACAGGTTTTAAGACCGTCAAGAATAATTCCAGTCATGCAGCTAGTAAATGGTAGAACCTGCATGCAAGCAGAGGCAACCTGGCTCCAGAGTTTATAAATTACCACAATATTCTACAGATACATCACTGCCCTAGGAAGTTGACCATATTTTCTTCATTTAACCACAACCAACAACGATTGTTTCCATTTTGCAGTTTAAAAAACTTATGTTTGAGGAGTTTCAGTAAATAGCTCAGGATCAGACAGCTCGAAAGGGACGCAAGCTAGAGGTCATCCCAGGTCTGGGGACCACCAGGCATCTCATCCTTGACATTTGTGGGCCCCAGGGCAGAAGGACAAATGGAAGTCACATATTAGGTTGCAACATTGTACTTACCCTTAACTGGGCTAATCAATTGACACATAAAATATGTTCTGTCTTCCTGTCAGAACAAGTACATTCAAAATGACCTATGCTCTAGGTTCAAAGGGAGCATGTGGGGACTTCTTGAAGTTCTATGCTAGAGCATGGTAAGGTGAAAGAGGAGGCCCTCAGCTCTCTGGGCCATGCCTGCCTTTCTGTGCCCAGGACACTTGAAGAGGGCTCAGGGCCGGCTGTACAGAGGAATTTTCAGGTCTTTATGCTTGAGTTTGGTTGAGAACAGGCAGGGAGCCAAGAATAATGGGCACAGGTTCAGGCTTGGCATGTCTCTTTGTCCCTAAGGATTTTTCAAATCATGGAAACAAAGAGGACCAGAGAGTGGTCAGAGAAGGTTCCTTAAAGGGCAGAACCCAGGTCAGGTGTCACTGTTGCCTGGGCCTGAGGGAGGTCCGGACTTCAACCTGTGTTCTCAGTCACTATGTCACTGCTCCTATTTCCTCTCAGGGAAAGAAACAACAATTGGCTTTTCTCCTTGAATGAATTATCTTTCTCATTCAGTTGCCTTTAAAAAATATTTATTTTTGTATATAATTTATGAAAAGACCTAACCAGTATACATATTTATGGCACTTCTATATCAGGTCTCAACAATCACACTGCTGAGAAAAAGGCAATTTCTGATTTGCTGACTAGATCTATCCTACTAATCTGGCCACTTCCCAGCTCCATTTTGTACATAACCAGGGTGTCTGACCATTAACAATTCCATCAAATCAATGCTTTCAATATTGCATTACAATTGGTCTTCTAACTTACTGTCAATTGGGGAGCCATTAACTCTCCACTTGATTGTGGGCTGAGGTTCTCCTTCAGCCTCACATAACAATATACCACTGCTCCCGGTGCTATACACACCACTTTGAGGTTTCTTTGTCCAGTGAGGAGGTTCTAGAAATAAAGTAAAGAGCTCATCAGAGATTTATTCATGTCAAAAGGTCCAAAAAATGTAAAGGCTTGTATTTCTAATATACATCAGCAGAGGGCAGACACCGCAAAGTGTTTCAAGGTAGCTTTCTGGTTAAAATTTTTAAGCAAAGCAAGGTGGGAGTTACTTTTGTGTTGTATGCTGTGTGTGTGTGTGTGTGTGTGTGTGTGTGTGTGTGTGTGTGTGTTTAATTCAGACTCAGCATGCATAATAAATCAACATACTAAAAATAGTTATATACAACCACTTTATTTAGCTACACGCAAGAATGTATCCCACTAAGAGAAAATGAGGGGAGAATAAGCAGATGGTAAATTTATTTAAAAGCTGGCTACAGGTTATTTTCAAGCTGCAGCATGGTACCTAAAAAAGGTGTATGCTCACAAATTATATTTTGAGATTAAAAAACAAAACTAATTAAAATATTCAATACCTCTTCAATATTTCTTAATTGGTGATTTTGCAGTATTTACATATCTGTATCTAACTAATCAATTTAGAAAATATAATTTCCTGTATATATTTTTTTGTAAGGGGGGAAGGAAAGCCTAAAAGGAACATTAGTTTTTTGCAGTCAAACAATGGAAGAAAAATACATTTAAATTATTTGTATTTTTCTATGCCCTCATGCTCCAGTATGACTTGGTGTATCAGAACAAAATGAGACCTTTTTCCTTGACTTCAAACATTACCACCATGTTTTGTCACCTTATAAACATTGCTATATTGGGAGTGAATAAAAAGTTTAGATTAAAATGTGAATGGTTTGGATAATTTGATTTCAGAGAAAATTGTGCAAAACCTGTAGGTAGCATTTCCCACCAAGTGTTGCTTGGTTATTTCCCCCAAGACATTTTGGATTTCCTTTTTTCAATCAAAAAGAAAAGACTTCAAAGATATATGTATGCCTAAAATGAAAAATATTATTTAAATATTTTTTAAGTAAAGGAGGAAAAAGGATTATGTGAACAGAAAATATGTATAAATTTACCAGAAGAAACAAAAGTACACAAATAATCCTAGCAAGTTCAAGTCTGACCAAGAAAGTGACTTTGTAATTTTTCCACAGGGTATGGACTTAATTGTTAAATTGTTAAATTGTTAAATATGTGTATTCAAAATCTATACAATCTGTAAATATTTAGTCACTAGGTTTAAAATTCAGCATCTCAAATTTTAAACTGTAGATCACTTTCTGAGGTGAAGGTCTTTTCTTTTTTCTTTCTTTTTTTTGCATTTTTGATAGTATTGTTATTTTTTTTCTAGTATTTTCAGACAAGACAATAAAATTAAACATTTGTAAGATAGAGAAAAATGTTTCATAAACATGATCATAATTATAGTATAAAACTACACCCATTGCTTTCAGAACATGTAAAAATAAAGAAAATCAAGGAATGATTATTTTTTAAAATCTTCATGAATAATAAAATAAAGATTTCTCATCTTACAAATTTTATTAATACCTTGATGTCTATATGTTAGGGTTGAAAGGGGACATAAGTTTCACCTCATGCTAACCTTTCACCTTACAGGTAGAGAACTGAGCTTTGGAGAAGTCACCTGACTTGCCCAGAGTCACCATTTCCTGTTCTTGTCATTTCCTATTCTTGTCATTTCCTGTTCTTGTCATTCCATAGATATATGGACAGAATCCATGACCAAGGACATTGAGACTCTGAAGCCATGTAATTCTGTTTATAATTCATTGATATCTTATGAATTTGGACCAAAGATAGGAATCAAGGCCAACTCAATTTATCAACTGTTCCTCTGTGCTTCCAGATCCAACTTCCCCCAATATTTATCAACTGACTCAAGAAGTGTTGTGCATTCATTAGTCTTCATCACTAAATTTTAGATGAACCCTTCTTCATTAACTTTCTTTATAAATGCTTGAACATTTATTTTGATGCTTTTCTTCCCTGATTTTCTCCTCTAAAAGCAAGCTGGTCCTGTGTCATGCAATTTGAGAAAGACTTCAATCCAGTCCTGCTCAGAAACTGCTCTTATTTGGGTCTTTCAACCTAAAAATTCTGAGAAAATATATAATCGAATCCCATTATTTTATCTATTTCCTAACATACGATAACTAATGAAAATTACTTATGCCAAAACTTTAACCATTTTTTCCATAACTGTAAATACCAAAATAAGATGATAAAACTCTCTCATGCTGCTGAAAACAGATACAAATGTACGAACATTGAGAATATGTAGTAAGCAAGCTAATCAGAGATGTTTATTACTAGAAAAATGCATAAGTTGGTACCTAGAAAACATACAACACAGTGGCTATTTTCTTAGTTAAACTGTTTTTTTAATTGCAGATCTCTAATAAATATCTGAATTCTAATAAATAAAAATGATTAGGTTCAATAAAAGTTGGATTTAATGACATTTTAGGAATAGATTTATTTGAAAATAAGATATTCTTAAGTATGTCAATGACTAAATTACACTTGAGTTCATGACATCCTTTGAAAATGCAGAATCATTTTGGATATATTATGGTTATAGAATTATGCATATGGGCATCAAAGTGAGGACCAAACTTTACCTGTACGATGAACATCTGCATACCTAACTCTGAATTTGAGCTCACATCTTTAAAATAGAAATAAATTGCCTGAGCCCGCGTGTTCGAGACCCGCCTGGGCAACTTGGTGAGACCTCATCTCTACAACAAATCAAAAAATTAGTTGGGTGTGGTAGCGCGCGCCTGTAGTTCCAGCTACTTGGAAGGCTGAGGTGGAAGGATCGCTGGAGTCCAGCAGGTCGAGGCTGCGGTGGCCGGG